CGTTCTCTGCCTACCGGTATACTAATCATTCAACGAAACAGCCAAAACAAAACCAAAATTCCGGGCATTGTTTCCATCCCCGAAAAACGACAACATCCGAATATATCGGACCGTGATTCCTCCACCACATTCCGCTCGGCGCCGACTTCCACTCGGTGGTGTAGGAGTGCAGGAACGCCGCGACGCAAACCGTCCTGATTCGTCCCACGTCCAAAACGGGTCAACGCCAATCATCGAGACGTACGAGACGATCGCAGCCAGCAAGAGGAAGTTGGAAACTTTGGCAAATCCTCGACGAGCCAGTTATTGAGAAGGTTGTGTGGCATCGCGCACATTCTCCACCACAGGGCGCCGCACCCCTGGAAACCAGCTGTGTCACCGTGCTAGCCTCCAAGCGGAACGGCGACCGTTGCAACGGGCGACCTCGACTTGTCAGATCCCACCACACTACCATCACTGGAATCTTTCACCACTGTATACCTCCCAATACCATTTACTGCCGGACCCACGATACTGCCGACGAGTGCAGGCAAAACCATCGAGGTTCAAGTCAGCGAAGAGGTTCACGCTTGGAAAATAAAAGAGTCCCAAGTCCCTTCACCTTCCATGGGTGAAGAATCGCCATTCACTCGACCACTTTCCGGCTTCCTCTAATTCTTTTTCACCAGCCCAACCCGGGTTCTCTCCTCTTCTTTTTGTTTGTTTCTCGGGACAACTCGCGTACGGCGTCGACCTTTCCTTCACTGACTGGCAGCATTACTTTGCCATCCTTCTTCATTAATAATAATCACACGGTACAAGACACGGCATCCACGCACCCCTGTTGTTACGTCGTAACCAGGTCGCGGACTAGCGCACCCAGTACATCCACTGTACGACGCCATCCCTACCGCCCACCACCCCCCCGACATCCGAGGCTTAGCACTGTTATCCACATTTGGTCGCTGCTAGTGTCTCCAGCCATGAAGCCCTCCCTGAAGTGGTTTGGTTCCAAATCCAGCCCCAGTACCAGTCCCGAGCCTGCGGGGCCCTCCGCTGGGGCCGGTGGAAATAATAGTTATCGCGCATCGCCTTCCTCTGTTTCTGCAGCTTCCAGGAACCCATCGCCTTCCGACTCAACAACCGATTCACCCTCTTCCCTTCTTCACCCATCCTCGCCGTCGCCGTCTCCGACACCCCAACCGCCGACACCCCGCGATTCCGTCTTTCCTCGATCCGATTTTTCGCTACCTGCTGCCTCGAAACCCATCGACATCGCGGCCCCCCATCGTCGATCCACCGCATCCATCTCACCGGCTGACCGCAATCCCATCACTTTCCCAACCCACGACCTCGACGATCTCGATATCGACTGGGACCAAGGCCCCTGCCTCGCCGACGTTGGTTTCGACCCTGACATCGACATGACCGCCGGTCAACACTTCGACTCGGCCTTGAGCCGCAGTCGACAGGAATCTTTCCTGGGCACTGGTGCAAAACCCATTTCCATGGCAAACCCTAATCGCGACCATGCCAACCGTCTCCGTCGTGAGAGCATGGCCGGGAGTCTTAGAGCAGGTAGCCTCATGGCGGGGAGTCTTATGGGTAATGGTATGAGCTGGGGCGGCATCTCTGTTGGAAGCTTTATTCGCGAAGAGTAAGTCATCTCCGCCATTTCCTTCGTCTGCGCGTGCTTGGTTTTTCCCCCCTCTGCGTGAATCGGGACCAGACATCTTGGGTATCTTGGCTTTCGTATTCTGGCGCTTCGTATTCTGGAGTTGGATCGCCGTTGAGCATTGTCCGTTGAGCATTGTCCGTTGGTTGTTGTGACCCAAGCTGACCTGTTTCAATGCTGTTAGCATGATGATGACAGGCACTTCACCGTATCTAACGCACCAGTCTCCCTCGTTTCATTCTTCGTCGTATATCCCAAAACTCGAGGCCAACTTCATGCGCGATTTCACCTGCTGCGACAGGACGTGGCCGACCCTCCATGATCTCCTCCAACATTACGAGGAGAACCACCACGCCACCGCGGCACCCAACACATCTAACCAGAATCTCAATACCTTTGGTGCGAGTCAAGTAAACGCTCGCGGTAGTGCCAGTCGTGCCACTCCAACTCCTGGAGTGGGTAGAGCTCAACCAGGAGCCCAGGCGATGAATGGGTACCAAGGTCAGCGTCATCTGAGTGTTGCTGGCGCGGGAATGGGCCTCGGCGGTATCGGACAGATGATACGGCAGCAACAGGTAGCTCCAGCTGTGCAGAAAATGACTTCTTTGTCACAGATGCATGATGACATGGATACTGTCGGAGAGATGGAGCTTGACGAGACCGTGGGACCTATGGAAATGGACGATAATCAGCGGACAATCCAGCAAACTCGGCAAATGTTTGGCCAACAGCAGCGTCCTCAACTACACCTGAACAGCTCTGGGCTTCCGCACCAGGCTTTGCGCACTTCTCAACCCCCAACTCCTGCTGCTGTCAGCTTTGGTTTCCAGAATAACCCGACCGTTTCGTCAGTCAACACACCAACCCTGACAACACAAGGAGGCCTACCTCAGCGGGGGCAATTTGGTCAGGAAGATGACAACGGCGACGATATGTCCGGCATGCCTATGAAGATGAACCTCGGCGGCATGAACTTGAATGGCGGTCAGCTCGGAGGACTGGCAGGAAACTTGGCTTTCGGGGCCCTGGGAACGATTGATGATCCTGCAAAGAGGCTGTATAGCCCTGGCGGTACGACGCAGATGACGAGCCAGCAACGAGCGTTCGATGCCCAGATGCAGATGCAGCAGCAGTTGCAACAGCACCTGGCGTCGATGAACCTCGATCTGAACCAACTTGCTCCTGGTACGGATCCCGCTTTGCTTTTGCAGCAGATGACTGCGCTCATGATGCCGCCGACAGAAGAGCACAAGCCCTTCCGCTGTCCCGTCATTGGATGTGAGAAGGCATACAAGAACCAGAATGGTCTGAAGTAAGTTTTTTTTCCCGAGGTGTTTCTCTTTTGAAGTGGGATTTGTTTGCCCTCTGCAGAAATTTTCTTTGGTCGGCCACCAACGCCAACCAACCCCATATTCCCGCTTTTCCCAACTGCATTCCTTCCTCAAGTCCCACTAACAATCGAACCAGGTACCACAAGACCCATGGACATTCGACCCAGCAGTTGCATGAGAACGGCGACGGTACCTTCTCGATTGTTAATCCGGAAACGAGCACGCCTTACCCTGGTACTCTTGGTATGGAGAAGGAGAAGCCCTTCAAGTGCGACGTTTGTGGAAAGCGCTACAAGAACTTGAACGGCCTCAAATACGTAAGTTAACATTAAGGCCATTAGAATGTGCACAACGATACTAACATAGCCTCAACAACAGCACAAGCAACACTCGCCCATGTGCGACCCTGAAATGAGAGCCCAGCACCAGAACCTTATTTCGACCATGATGTCGAACCCAGCTGCGCTCATCGCTTTCCAGCAAAACCTGCCCAACATCAACGAAGATGTCATGTTGTAGGACAACAGCGCATTTGATCAGCACTTGGATATGGTCAAGATCCACAACGACTTTGCGTCGTCCAATCTGGCAGTCCACGAGAAGCTCGACATGCCCAAAATCTTCGGTTCGACGTTGTGGGGCAACACGGCATCCGATACGGATGTGTCCAACCCTTGGAAAGATTTGATGGCGTAGCCCAGTCTCGGGTTTCCGATAAACTAACCCTCAGCTGTCGCGGCCGCCGTACAAGCCACGCCTCGGTTAACAAAAACGCCTCTCATCTCTGTTTTTTTTCTATGTCTGACTTCACTGTTTGTGTTTTGGGGGATCGGAAAAGTTCTTATCTCGGGTTTACACTACACCTTTCAGTAGCAGCATTTTGCCTGGCGTTGTTCTCTTTTCGATATTTGTTACGGTACAAGAGGAGAGCAGAGGAGAAGAGTGAGTGAGTGAGTGAGTGAAGGAAAAAAATGGTGTTGAAGTTTTTTTATTGTTTTTTTATAGGTCTTTCTTTGTATGGCTTTTGGTGTTGGTGTTAGTTCCTCGCCGAGAAGAGATATATTCTCGTGCGGGAAGAGTGTTAGCTTAAAGAGAGGGAAGGAATATCAGGCCAGGGAAACCGTGGAAATTTTTCAAACGCTAAAAGGGCGGCAATCAATGGTAGCGAAATTTCTCTGTATTTTTCGGTCTCGGATCTGAGGGAGCTGAGGAGGAATCTCACTTATGTAACACGGAGGGAAGGGTTTTGCCGGCACATACCAATACCCTCTTATACCCCAGAGAGAGGAAAAGAGAAGAAGAAAATGGACGAAGGAACGAGCGAAAAACCAATTTAGATGTAGGATTTCATTCATAAACTGCTTCTCAGGCAGCGTCAGCGTCAGCGTATCATCATCCATTCACTGCGAATCCTTATCATTACGGGGAAAATTGCAAGTGTTGAGGTGAGGGGATGGAGATGGAGATACCCCCGAGTTCAGCGAGCGCTACTGTACATGGAGCGTAACATGATAAGTTATTGTTTTTTCTCAATCTTCGCTCTTGTTGTCAAGTGGGACGTGTATGTAGCGGTTAGCGGTAGATCGATAGAGGTAAAGTGAGTGAGACAAAACACCGTGAGACAGGCTTTTCATAGAATATCATGTTGGGTTTCATCTTTATATCGATAGAGAAGAAGAAAGTTAAAGAAACAGTGGCACCTCATTCCTATGTTTCTTGAAGTCTAACCGAAAATAAGAAAATCCATATGATGGCTTTCCATCGATGGCGGCAGATGACCATGCCAATCAATGGTCTGTCTATGAACATTGAACACCCTATCCGACATTTGACATAAACAACGATCCTTTCAGTAGTGTACCAGAGGTGAATACTCTAAAGCATCTGGCTAAATCTTCACACAAAAATCCTTTTGCTCAATGCATTATAAAAAAAACTCCAGTTTCGCCCAACGAACAATAACATCATCCCTGCCTACTAGCCCTGTACCACCAAGCATCAAGCACCACTCAAGTTTAAACCTCGATCGTGAAATGGCTGATCTGCGAGTAATAAGCATGAACGGCCAGCTCGAGGAGCCACACGTCACCAAAGACCTCAGCACCATCGAATCCGCCAATGACCAGCAGACGACTATCGTAGAGCACCGCGCCGTGATATCCCCTCCCGCTGGGCGGTAGGCCGTAGACCCGCCTCTTGTCCCACGACATGGTCACCAGGTTCAGGAGGAGGACCTCGTTGGAGTACTCGTTTCCGTCGTGGCCGCCAATAACAAACAGATACGAGCCGACGATGGTGGCCGTGTGCGACAGCCGGCGGTACGTGATGGGGATCTGGACGGCCTTCCACATGTGCGTGTCGACGTCGTAGACCCAGACGTCGTTGAAGCACTCACCGCCGTCGGAGCCTCCGTAAATGATCAGCTTGGAGCCCACCATGTTGGCGGTGTGATAGCCGCGCGCCTTAGGACGGATATCCTGGCCACCACCGCTAGTGGACGTTCCTGATGCTCGTGCCTCGCTCTTCCCACCGCCTCCTGTTGATGATGACGACGATGACTGATCGTCTGGCCCCGGTGACCCTTCTGATATTAGTTTCCACGACATTTTGTTAATGTCGCTCACGTCAAGCCGCCAAATGTCGTTGAGCGCGCGGACACCGTCACCGCCGCCAAACATGTAGATGCCATTCTTGTAGAGACACGCTGTGTGTGCCCGCCGCTTTGAGGGGAAGTCCTTCCCGAGAATGCGGGGCTTGGACCACCGGAAGTTGACCGTGTCCAGCACGTAGACATCGTTGTAGTAGCTCGGCCCGTCGCCGCCACCAAAGACAATCAGCTTCTTGCCCACGGCGGTGCACGTCATGGCGCGCAGCGGCACCGGGATCTCGCCCACCACCTGGGGAGCTGACCAGTAGAAGGCGTCGGCATCCAGCACGTACAGCGAGTTGAAGCACGTCCGCGAGTCACACCCGCCAAAGACGTAGACGTTGGATCCGATCAATGTCGTGGTGTGCGCACGCAGCGCCGTGTGTGATGCCCCTGATACGGGCGCCTTGCTCCAGTACATGCCGGATGACGGCGCCGGGGGCACATCCGGGGCGGTCCTGGGATCTACCAGCGGCGGGAACGGAGAATGATGTATCATTTGGACACCGGGTCGAGCACCACGAGTGCCGCTCGCGCGAGCAACGACTGATGACGAAGCCGTAGAGGTGCCGGGGCGGCCGCTCGCGATAGCCGATGTGGAGCGCATGCCGGACGGACGCCTGGACGATGTCTCCTTACCGCTGCCGGCAGACGAGTCCTTGCGCTCTCGTGCCGTAGCGACGCTGCTTATGGTCGTGGATGATTGTATGCTATCTCGACTATCGGGCAAAGCAGTGCTCGGCTGTCTGTAACCTGTCGAGGAAGGCGTCGGCGTGGATGTTTTGTGGAGAGGAACGGCGTGCGGGTAGATGGGCTGGGCGACGTTCAAGGAGGAGGCTGCGTTGATAGCTGCGTTGACAGCGGTTGAGAGCGAGCGCTGGCGAATGGACAATTCCGAGGCCTTGGATAGTTCAGAGGGTCTGCGTTGACGGTCTTGGATCTGGGTCCGGGTCGAGAGCTGGCCGGGAGTGTGTGTCTGAGAGCGGGGGACGGGAGGGGTTCGAGCAAGGAGCTCCTCATCATCGAAGGCGGAGCCTCTGCCCTCGATGGGCGTAGTTGAGATGTTTGCGATCTTGCGGGAAGGCAGCACGTTGGCCGTGTTCAAGGGCGACTGCGGTATGGGCGGAGGCGGCCTGTCCCGCCTTGCTCCTGCTCCTGTTCCTGCTGCTCTGGCCTGGTCAGCCATCGTGGTTTCATATGCGCATGTCGCGGCACATCAATTGAACAGGTTCTCGGCGGACGAGGAGAGAGAACTCCGGTGTCGTGTGTGTATTCCCGTGCCCCCTTAGTCCGTGTTGGTAGCGTCTCGGTAGCGTTTGGCCAATGCTGTACGGCACGAGCTGAAATACGTCGATAGGGCGAGCGAGATATAGGGGCGTAGTTGGCGATCAGGTCCCGAGAGCGAAGGGGACTTGGTTGTAACGGCAGATGTAGGGAGGGACGGGAAGTTTATGTTGGTTGACAAGAGGCAGGCAAGCAGGACAGTGAGGTGGTTCGGGTGTTACTGTGATGTTTGTTGGAGAAACCGGTCTAAATCATACGCCAGTGCTGTAATTGGGCGGCATTAGAAGTGGAAGAAGCAAGGCCTCGCAGCCAGATGTCAGCCCTCCACACTTAAACTGCACACACTGCGGGCCCTTGCATAAACTTGTCACTGTGGTGGGCGGGGTGCCATTTGGCCATTCGTTCAGTCGGGTGCCATGCATTTTCCACCAGATGAGAGGCCTGGGTCGGGGGTCTCATCCTCCCGTCCTAGGTCCCGCCTTCTCTCCGCTCCGGATCTCTGCCGAAAACCCACCTCGGGCACTTTGCCGACGGGAGTCCCGTCTCTAATTCGGGACCGTATTCGAAGGCATGCCGAAGTCTTTTGACGGCGGGCTTCCGGACTGTTTACAAGTTAAATGGAATCTTCGGCTCTAGTACCATCCTGTAAACCTGTCATATTGTAAGCTGGATACATGGTTGCTATTCAACTGTGTACAGCATTTCTTGCCATCTCATAGCACAGCGGTCCGTGTCCGATGTGGAGTATCCGATCGAGAGATCCGATGACAGAGTCCGGGCGAGATCTCTACACATAGATCAATATTGTCGATACAGGCACGGTACTGTTGACAGGCCACCCGGATGATGCCCGGTTTGTGGGGTTGCACACACTGGACGGGATTTTGTGGACTCTGAATCTTGGGACTGTCCAGATTTGGAAGCCTCAGCCCTACCTACAGACTAGCACCTTGCTGGTCAAAATAGTACAGATTGCTGTAACTGTTCAGACTTGATTCCACAAGCAGCCGGTTGACCATTGCTCAGGTCCCGTCCCATGAAATACCTTGTTCAAGCATTCCATTCACAGAGGAGCGGCCATTCCCAGCTCCAGGGGCAGCCCACGAAAAAAGGAGGTACTGTGCCGAATTGACTGTTGGATCGTCGTTGCACCCACCAAATCTTCGGCACTAAAAGCACCGATTGATCGCTAACCCCGCTGTGGGCCCCCCAGTCTAGGCTCGCCGTTCCTGGGGTCGGACGCAGTCAGTGCAATTTCCAGGTTGCAGCGGCACGAGTGGGTACCTGTCACGGTTCCCGAGAACGGGCCCAGGGGTAGGTGCAACATAAATGCAAATTTCACATCCCGGCCGGCAATCCAGTGATTACCTTGGTCTCATCCGACCCGGCTTTCAACCAGACGACTTGCGCCGAACTGGGGTCAGACTCAGTCGGGTACAACTTCCAGTCTCAAAATCAATATGGAGTCCCAAGAGACGGCAAAGCGCCCCATCGAGGAGCCCGGCGACGCTGTTGCGGTTCAAGATGCCGAGCCAGCAACCAAGCGCGTCAAGCTGGACGATGCCCCCGCCCCCCAAGCCCAAGAAGAGCCCTCGCAACCTCAGACTGAAACTCAACCTCAGCCTCAAACTGAAGGCGACAAGCCAAAGGAGCAACGGCAAGATGACAGGGATAAGCGAAGGGGCATTGCTCCCATCAAGGCAGAGTAAGTGGCCACATCTATCTCTTGTTCAACTTTCTCATCTCTTCATATTTGCTTACATGTCCTAGGTATCTCGTTGTGCCTCCAAGCCAAGTCGCCAAAACCGCCGAGGTAGTTGATGATGATGCTGCTGAGGGAAGGACTGCCCCTGATGCTGAGACCGGTGCCGCTGGAAAAGACGGAAAGAAGAAGAGGCCAAAGGGTCAGAATAAGGAGCGTGAGTTCGGTATCTTTGCCGATGCTCAGCGCCTCTGCAACTCTGTTGCGTGGACGCCTGAGTTCTCTCCTCGGAACTGCAAGCACGGCGATCGTTGCAACGCTCTTCACGACATCCGAAAGTACCTCAAGGAGGGCCGTCGTCCCGACCTCAAAGTCTTTGGAGGCAAGTGCCCGGTCTGGGAGACCCATGGCAAGTGTTCATCTGGCTGGCGTTGCCTCTTCGTCGAGAGTCACATGAAGGAGATTGAGCACGAGGATGGCCGAAAGGAGTTGGTTCTCACTGAGGACCCTTCCAAGATCAAGCCCGAGACTACCCCTTCAGTACCACCCGAGGAGGAGTCGATGGATGCCAGGGCCGGTGTTTACAACGTTGTCGCCCCAGCTGTTAAGCTCGCCCTGTCAAGGAAAAAGATCCAGCACGAAAAGTCCGACCAATACCTCAAATGGATGGCCAAGGACTCCGAGCTCGCCCGCATTCATTACCACAAACAGAAGGACGACGACGACGTGGCCAAGGACTATGCGGCTATGTACGTCGAGCCTCCCCTTAAGCCATCAGAAAAGCGAAGGATCTACTTCGGCCGCGAGACCCCCGTGCTCGCCCCCCTGACCACCCAAGGAAATCTGCCTTTCCGCCGTCTCTGCGTAGAGCTGGGAGCCGAAATCACCTACTCCGAAATGGCCCTTGGCCTCCCTCTCCTCCAAGGTCAAAAGGCCGACTGGACCTTGATGCGCGCCCACGAGAGCGAAATCACCCCTCCTCGCTATACACCGACCGGCATGGTCGACCCCTTATACGACAACTCCAAGGACCTCAAGTTCGGCGTGCAAATCACCGCCAACGCCCCCTGGATCGCCATCAAGTCCGCCGAGACCCTCTCTCGCTATCTCCCCCACCTCCGCGTCATCGATCTCAACTGCGGCTGCCCTATCGACATGGTCTACAAGTCCGGCGCCGGCTCCGCCTTGCTCGATGCCCCGTCCAAGCTCGAGCGTATGATCCGCGGCATGAACACCGTCTCGGGCGAGGTGCCCGTAACCGCCAAGATCCGCATGGGCATCCGCGACGACCGCCTGACAGCCCAAAAGCTCGTCGAGCGTCTCGCGCTCGGCGCTCCCGATATCCGTGCCGTCTCTGGCGCCCCCGGCTGCGCGGCCGTTACGCTGCACGGTCGCACCCGCCAGCAGCGGTACACTAAGGCCGCGGACTGGAGCTACATCGCTGAGTGCGCGGCGCTGGTCAAGTCGTTCAACAAGACGTCCAACTCGCTTCAGGACACGATCCGCGAAGCCGACGAAAGGACACTCCCCAACGGCGGACGCATGTACTTCGTCGGCAACGGCGACTGCTACTCGCACGTGGATTACTTCAACCACGTCGACAACGCCGGTGTGGACAGTGTCATGGTGGGCCGCGGCGCCATCATCAAGCCGTGGATCTTTGAGGAGATCAGCGCGGGCCAGTACCTGGATAAGTCGGCGACCGAGCGGTTGGCGTACGTGGAGAAGTTTGCCAAGTACGGCATGGAGGCGTGGGGATCGGATGAGTTGGGACTCAACTATACCCGACGCTTCCTGCTGGAGTTCTTGAGCTTCTTCCATCGTTATGTGCCGATTGGTTTGCTGGAGTACTTGCCTCCTGCTATGAATGATAGGCCGCCGGCGTATAAGGGTAGGAATGAGCTCGAGACGTTGTTGGCTAGTAAGAATTATCTGGATTGGATTAAGATCAGGTCAGTATTTTTGGTTTACGCTCCTTGCATATGCCGCCCCTCACCGAAGAAGGTTGTTCTCGGAATTCGCTAACACCACCATTCTCTTCCAACAGTGAGATGTTCCTCGGCCCTGCTCCTCCCAACTTCAAGTTTCAGCCCAAGCACAAGTCCAACGCCTACGAGAACATCGAGGCCGAGGGTTAATTAAGTTGGCGAAATTACCTCACCACCGCTCAAACAGAACAGAACAGAACAGAAGCACGGGCGCATAAGAATGAAGGTTTCCACGTCTGGAAAAATGGTTTCTTTTGGGGATGCGATCAAAGTTGATGATGATGGAAAAGAAAAGACAGACTACGTACATAATGAAAAGCATCTATAAACAAGCATAACTTCGTGACTTTCAAACAGTAAACAAAACAGAAGATATTTCAAAGAGAGTTAAGAAAGAAGTTTCCGTCACCTCGTAGCTTCCAAGCGGACAGGCATATAGGATGGTTGGTTGAATGACCGACCAGTAATTTTTTTCTTCTAACAATCCCTCAGGACATACATACACAGATGGCGACATCTTTAACAACGGTTCGTTGCGAGGCAGAGACGTTACGTGGAGATACCTATCTGTATCTGTCACAGCACATAGTTTGAGGGCTGACTGACACACCACAAGAACTGACGAAAGCAACTCAAATAATTAAGCTAAGTAAGTCAAATAAGCAAGAGGGCGAAACTGCTTTGAATCGGATGGAATGGGTGGGTGGAGCAGGTTCATATGTACAATGAATGACACATGAAATGGATGGAAGAATGAAGACCAGATTAAAACCTAAAGACCGGACAGGTGCTAGCATGCACCAGCACAACGTTCGGAAGTTAAACATTGATGAGTAATTCATGGACAATACCACAAACCCCAAGTAACATTGGAAGAAGTGAGCGAGAAAGATAAGAACAAAACAAAAAAGATGGCCTTCATGTTTAATCACTTTGATACACTAAACTGCAACACTCGCTTGTTAATCCGTGAGGTAGTAATATTCACGTTCTTCACTACTGCCCTCAGCTGTCATTCAACCTCTCACCTTTTGATCTTTCATTCATACATACAATTAAACTCGCTAATGAAAAAAATGACCAAGGTATGATGAGTAACGATAACACACATAAGATACGATACGATACGATACGGTAAGGATAAGGTATATCTGAGACTTGGAGGGGAAAAAATAAAGTAATCGCTACAAGGTATACAACTCAATAACCAATAACCAACAATCAACAACCAACACAAGCAGACAGACACACACCCCTTTGTGTATGTATGTAAGCTAAACAGCCGTCCCTATGTCTATATCGTCTGGCGTGGGATACGCCTCGCTTAACCTCGCTCCGCTTCCTTCTTGAGCTCGCCTCCGAATTTTTCATACATCTTGGTACCCTTGAGCTTTTTTACCGCTTCCTCCTTCCTTCCACTATGCTCAAATGCCCAATGCTTCCTCTTTCGTACCGTACTCGCTACCTCAGGCGCTCAGGTGGATCAGTATCTGGCGGAGACGTATCCATAACTGTGTCATCCAGGCGTTTTAAAGATGTAAGAGTTTATGACGATGACGATGATAATGTGATAACTATTGTTGTGTTTCCGCCTGTTCGTGTGGTGACGACTGTATTAAGAGTTTCCGCCCTCTTTCCATTCCATTCGCTGATTAGGTTGAAAGAAGCGCTTTTGTATGCCTCTGCGTTAGCTGCATTATGGTCTTCCCATGGCCAGAAAGAACGGTGATTTCGAGTGACGTCAGCGTAGAAGTAAGGAGGTCGTCGGGTTTTGGTTGCTGCAGGGTTTGATTATGGGATGGGCGATTCGGTAGCCACTGGGGGCCGCTCCGGGGAGGCCGTCGCTTTGCACATGGCTTACCCATAGTTCGCACTGAAGCCAGGGAGACCGAGTGCCGAAGGCGAGAAGAGGGTGGCTTCATCAACCGCGGTGCATCGATGTGCATCTTGATAAGACCATTTCGCCTGCGTCTGTCACCTCTCTAAGAAAAGAACTGCGACTTCTGGAAACTCTCCACACTGATATCGCTGGCCTTGGCCGCCGGTAGGGCCGGAACCAACTCTTTCTTGTCCGCGTCGCTGAGGATGCTGCTCAGGGAATTGGCCCTAGTGTCGCCGTCGATGCTGATGGACGGGGCTCCGGTAATAGCTGCAACGGGGTGTCCCGGCTTTTTAAGCACCTCGAGGAAGGTTTGCGGTAGATAGCCAATCCTCCCGTCGCGGGCACGGCACTTCCACCACTCGCTCGGCTGGCCGAGAGGGTCGCTCTTGCTGAGAATGGCGACTAGATCGCCCTTGTGAACTTCAAGGTCGACACCCGGGACGATCTCGCCATTTCCTTGCGTGGCGGGCGAGAAGTCGTACAGGACGCGGCAGAACTCGAGCTTGGCGGTCGATGGTTGTTGCTGGGCGACCACGAGCTGGCGCTTCTTCTCCTCTTCCTCAGCGTTGGAGGCTAGCGACTTGATCACCCTGCTCATCACGTAGGGCAGGCCGAACGCGGCAAGAACGAAGAAGATGAGCGGCTTCCGGCTGGGCTTGGGCATGGCACCGGCAGCACCACCGGCGGCGGCAGCGGCACCGCTCTTGCCGCGTCCCTCGAACATCGCAAACGAGGCTGGCGTGAGGCTGGTGGCGTCCGCTGGTAGAGGCTTGCCAGTGATCTTGGCGAACACGGTCCTGATCCAGCGCATGATGGTGAAGATGCCGAGGATGGAGCCTAGCGTCTGGCGAAGGTTGCCAAACTGCTCTGCGACAGCGACCATGGCTAAGCTGATGTTAGTAATCAGTTGCGCCCAACTGGGGGCTAGCAAATGGGATGATGGAACATACCGAAGAAACTCGAGTGTGTCGCCATATAAGTGCTCTCAAGCATTTGCGCAAAGCCCCCGAACGCGCCGACGATACCTTCCAGCATCTGAAACGTGGCCATCGTGCTCATGTTGAAGCGGTTGGTCAAGCTTTCCGGGTTGTTGGGATCGCCCGGCATGCCACCCATACCTCCTCCATACATGCCGCCGCCGCCGTACATGCCACCGCCATACATTGATCCGCCATAACCGCCGTACATCGAACTGCCATAGCCGCCCATACCCCCATACCTAGAATAGGGGCTAGAATAGGGCGAAGAATATGCCGAGCCATATGAAGAGCCGTATGTGTTGCCGTACGAGCCCACACCTCCTACGCCGTACGGTGAGGTGCCCATGGCGCCCATGGCGCCCATCGGCCTGCTGTAGTTGGCGGCATTTTGGTTGACGGAGGCGGTCAGACTGGCAGGCCTCGCGGGAATGGCTGGGGTTGAGCCTGATGTTGTCGTCGTGTTCGAGTCTGATGATGGCGTCGCGGCCGAGGAGGCTGCTGGTGCGGGCGCTGTGTCATTAGGAGTTCAATGTCAGTCCCCTGATTGTCGGGCAACAAACATGGGAAATGGACGGAAAAACGTACCCGATGCGCCAGACGCCGCGCCGTTCCTTTCCCAGGGTTTCGGAGGGGATGCCATGGCGATTGTGTGTGGATTATCTAATTTCTGCGCCGTTGGTGGCCGGTGGTAGTGCTCGAGGAATGACTTCGAGGACCGGTAAGGGAGAAAGCGAGAACGGGGCGTCACTGGTGGTCGCCGAGGGATGGTCGTCAGTCTTAAACGATGGGGTGCCGATGTGCGACGTGCGACAGTGCGACGGGGACAGAATGCGTGAGCGATGCGACAAGCGTCAGAACCACTGCACTTTACTACTGCTGGCTGGGCGCCTGGGCTGGTAAAGGGTTGCCGCGGTGGCGAGGGCTGGGCTAGCTGGGGATCCCGATTTGGCGGCTGCCTCGCGTAAATTCGTCAAAGGAAAGGGCCGCGCGCGAGAGAGGAGAAAGGATCAATAAGTAGATTCAATGGGCGTGGTATCAAAGACTGAATTAATACCGATTTTATTCTTGAGACTTCTTTCTGAGACCTTCGGGTAAAATGTCAGATTCCCCAGACAAATCTAGGTATGATCGAGCATTGCAGAGGGGGTCGATGTCGTAGCAGCGGAAAGGTGGAGAACGTCAGTCTGGGGGCGACCACTCTTGTTGCTTTGTCGCTTTCGGGCGGCCTGTGAACCTCGGCAACATTTCAGTGGGTAACACTGCCTGCATGGAGACTTGCCGACCGGCATGGTCAGCTGCATGCCGTGAGTCTTTCTGGCCCTTTACGACTTTGCAGTCTACACTCCATGAACTTTCGGAACGTTCATTGCAAGTTGTCGCAAAGAAATATTGGATGGATAACCGCTCTTTCAAGATGAGTCAATGAGGGATACTTATAGTTTAACGTGACAAACTGGTGCAGTTTGAAGTTCAAGGGGCCCGGTTTATCACGGGTTCCGATGGGCTACCAGATTGTATATCTACGTACCTTTGGGGTGGTGGTCGTAACCGTCGATGTTGTTCTTCTGGACACTTCGTCACCAAGCCAACGTCAAGCTCTCAGCAGTCTGTATGAGTGTATGGGTTATAAGTTCAGATTGCCAACTAAGGATCATATTAACCCCCAGACAGAAGAAAGAAGAACGGTCTTCATGCGCCTTGACAAAAAAAACCCATTAATTACGCCAACGCCATTGCAATGCCTCTGGGAAAGTGTCCTCTTTCCCCAATCCTTCGACTCTTTTCGGGAGGCTACCTTGTCAAAGGATGCTTGAAGGGCCCGTCGTACGGAAAGCCAACTGTTTCCAACCTGTCCATCTACCACATCAGCTATGCCCAGACAAACACGCACTGAAAGAACCCAACACGTCCGGCGGGCCTGTGATCCCTTCAGTACCTATTCCTGTCACCCCAAAGGCCGGCCTTCTTGTCCCACTAGCCACTTCCTTCACTTCTTCTTTATGTCTAAAACGAATCCAAACACGAGGAGGATAGTAATGATAAAGTAAAGAGACATTCCTTGCAATGAAGAAAGGCGGAACCTAGCTGTTCATGACATCTCCATGCCCTCGTCTTCATCAAGCTCGTCCTCAAGCACTTGCGTCTGGTTGCTACTTATGCTTTCCTTACGGTGTGACGTCCCAGAGCCTCCGTCATGGTAACGACTATCGATCCCCACCATTAAATCCAGCTCGTCACCGCCAATCACACGGCCTTCCATGTCTACTTCCTGAGAGAGCTCGACAAGAGCCGCTCTTGGAAGCCTCTGGAAGCCGAGCGTGCGTACTACTCTGCCCCAGTGCGTCATACAGAAGGTGGCGGCCCGTTTCCGCAGCCACTCCTCGTTTGCCATGCCGGCACAGTACCAAATGATACATGCGTGATCCACATCAAGCTCCTTTGCTAATCTGTTTACGCAAAGGAGGCGGAGGTGAGGGATGTTGTAGATGTTGGACATGACAAGAAGGCCAGCAACGTCTGACAAGTCGGCCGTGATGCTCTCATCCTCTTCAGAGCCTGGGTCGATGCGGTCTGTGTAAAGATAGTATAAGAATGCCTTAACAACACTGTAAGGCTCTGGTATGTGCATCTTCTTGGTGTGAAATTCAGCCATTTGGCTCGACCATAAGCGTGCAAAATGTGGCCAGCGTGCCTGGAGAATCAGTCGATGGACATGGATTGGAGGAGACGTGGGCACATCCGGCGACAGCCAGGTCTGATCACCGTCCATCGATTCGGAAGCGTGGCAGAGCGCGGAACCCATGATCTCCTCTTCATCATAATCTCGGGAAAGAGCCGTGACTATAAAATCCGTGCCACTTCCAGTCTCAGGGGGTTGGTCGAAGAGTTTGGCGAGATCACATCCAAGTCCCTTGGACGGCTGTTCAATATGACGCGCTCGCGAAGACGGCCGTGTGATGTCCGCTCGTGGTTCAGGGGCAAAGTTGTTTCCCAAGAACCCATACCGGCGCAAATCGATTTCCATGATATCGGACAAGTACTCCTCGAGGCCAGTGCCTCCATGGTCCAGAACATTTGGCTCTGTAGGACACCCAAGCAGCCAAGCCTTGGTGCCGTCTTCGTTCATGGTGCAATAGTGCCAGCGATATCCGGGCTTGAATATCTCCCGGCCCTCAGCCAACTTCTGCCATCGGAGAGATCCCAGGTCGAGAGCAGACAATGAACACTCCTTGGACGAAATTGTCGCCGCCGGTGTAACAAAGTCCAGAAGGGTGCCTGACGAGTAAACATGGAAGTGGATGCCCTGTCCCTGCGAGGGCACGTTTGGGCCATTGACAAACTTGAGAGCCGAAATGGCACCAGGTGCGGGAGGAGCGTAGGTCTTGAGGTGGAACGACGGTGGGTTGACTTGCGCAGTCCTCGAGTTTGCGGCATACCCAGACGACCCAACAATCGGGGTTGGTGCTGCAGGGTAAGAGGGCCTTGGCGAAATGGCACTTCTTGCCATGCCCGAGCGATCCATCGAACCAATCTGTGGGGGTGAATCGAAGGCCGGACTTCCCTTAAGATCTAACCACCAGATGTCGCTGACCTTGTCCATCTCCTCACTGAGGCCCCCGAACACCCAAACCCTTTCGCCCCATATATAAGCTGAATGATCGAACCGGCCCACAAAACGCCAGGACCTTGACCAGGTAAACGTTTTCAAGTCCAAGTAGCAAATGTCGTCGAGAACGTAGTTGTCGTGACCCGTAATCCCGCCAATAATGAATAGCTTGTCTTGGTGTAGAACGGCCGCGTGTCTGGCGCGACCTTTGGGAATCGGTCCTGTCACTTGGGGCTGGGTCCAGTGTGCGGTTTTGAGATCGAAGATTATAAGGTCGGAAAGATAGGTTCTGTGTTCGTTCTCGCCGCCAAACACCAACAGTTTGTCCCCCTTGTAGAGGGTCGCAGTGTGCCCTGCTCGAGAAAAAAGTTAGCTAGGCTCAAGACGAGACAAAATAGCAAGATATAAACCTGATGGACCAGGTGACACTAACCCATTCTGACGCCAGGAATGTCGCCATAGTTGTCAACCAGGCTCCATTGATGGCTGACCAGGTCCAGCCTTAAGACATGATTGTAGACTTCGTCGGTGTATTGGTCGAAACCGCCGAAAGCGTAGATTTGGTTGTTTCCGCAGTAGGTGACGGATGCATTGACGAGACAGGCAGGACGCTGTCCCAGAGTCCGTGTGACTTTGGGACGGTACCCATCACCACGGTTCTTGAAGGGCGAATTTGGCATGATGTAGGTATTGTTGGAAGAGGCAGCCGAGGCTGGTGTGAGAGTTGACGTCGTCATGGACGAGGGGATCGAAGGTTGTCCAGCGCCAGACATGACTGGGGTTGGACCTCCAAAGATGGAGGGAGAGTGACCTGCGGGGGTCGAAGGGTGTGCCATAGCTGCGGATTCTTTGGCACCTGTCGAGCTGTCGAGCTGTCGTCTGTCTGGCAGACTACTGCAATGCTTTGACGGATGCTTTCGTGTGCGTTGTCGCGCTATTCAAGCATGAGGCATGAAGCGTGAAGTGTGAAGCGTGAAGCGTTTGACTGTCGCAATCGGCTTAATGCTACATGCTAGGGCGGGGACCCAAAAGTTGGCTTCGTCGTTCGTTTTTGAAGCAGTCGGGAGGTCGAGAAACGGCGACACAGGTCTCCTAAGTAATGACAATGACAGGGTGATACCTATTCTCTAAAGATGATTATGAATCGCAGGCAGGCGAGGTCGTGTGAGGTAGTGTTCATTCAGTTCAAAACCGGTCCATGCTGGTCGGCTTGTGCTTTGTGCTTGTCCTCGACAGGATCATGCGCAGCGAGCGCAACGCAGCAGTAAGGGAACGGAACTCCACAGTGGTCCTTTTGGAGGAGCGAGCGGGCCTTGCACGAGCACCCCGGAGCCTGGACGACGTTTAAAAGGATCCACCTTGATGGGTCGGTTCAATGTGGACCTGGAGATGCCTGCATGGGTCAACGGTTGTGAAAGCCCTTTGACTTTCTGCCTTTGAGATTTGCGGAGCGTGTGCCGCTACCGCCTTTTTCAATCGTGGTCCAAGCGTTCGATTGCAGGTTGGTTACCATGACAACCGCGTTGTGCAGACAAAACAGGTCGTCCTTTCCAAAGTAAACTAATCTTCGACCCGCCTTCTCCTTCCGCTTCACCACATCCACAAATCCACGCTGCAAGAAAACCACTTCTACCGCTCTTCGCTATTCTTGGATTGCTTTCTTCAAGCTCTCGCTTATTCCACGCAACTATTTGCCTAAAGCAATCATACCAACAAGACAAAACTTTGCAGCGCGCCATATCCTTGAACGCAGACTTCCTCGAGTCCATTAGACCAGCTCGCTTTTACAGTCAACTGGATCGCCCCTCCGACTTGAGACGCATCTCGTCCAAGGACTCCTCCGAATTAGCCGATCATCGACAATCAGCACGTACTAACCTTCCAGGAGCCATTAACTTGAGTTTCTTGGAGCTCTTTCGGTTAATCGGAACTCCTCGACACCTACAAACCCCCTAAACGGTGAGCTCTCGCAGCTTCTGGAAAGCTGTGCGTGTGTGTTTATCCGTGTACTAACAATGAGTTCTTGAAACAGTGGTACATATCTGCTATCTTCATGGTCACAGTAACAAACATGGCTACTCCATCAATCACAACACCTAAGAAGTCCCATACGGGTCTTTTCTCGAGTCGCACAGCTGGCGGCCGTGTGCCCTTGACCCCTTCTCCTCACCATAATGCCAACGTCAACTCTTCGCCCTTCAACAAGGACAAATCAAACAACGATGGCCAGCGAGCACCCGCCAAGTCGGTCTACCCCGGCAACCTCAGCTCGCACCTCGCACGAGCAGCCTCAACCAAGACTCACTGGGACTCACCCAAGTCCAACATAGCGCGTGGGGCTGCGACTCCCAAGAAAGCTCTTGAGTTAGGCGTATCTGAGTTTACTCTGACCGGCACCGGCGCTCAGGTGCAGGAGCAAACCCAGGCCGCACCTACCCCGAAGCCAAAGAAGACCAAGATGAAGGCAAAGCCGATCAAGACGACCGTTACTCTCAATGCCGATCGCTTCATCCCCAACAGAGGCTCAAGCTCAGCCATTGCCAATGGCGGCTCCGGAAAGCTTAACATGCGGGATCAGAAGCGGCCAAAGTCCAGGACCGGCGAATCGTCTAGCTCAACAGCCCTCGCCTCTACTACAGATGATGCTACTGAGCAGCTCGAATTCGATTCCCTCCTCCTCGACGACGAAGAGGCTGAGACCTATGCCCGCCCATCTCCCAACACCGTGGCGTATCAGGACAGCTTGGCCAACGCCTGCGGAATGAATGTCAACACTCGAATTTTACAATTTAAGCCAGCTCCTCCCGAGTCCTCGAAGCCCATTGATCTCCGTCAGCAATACAACCGCCCATTGAAGGCCGCCAACTCGGCAGCTCAGTTCCGACGCCGCATCGCTACAGCCCCTGAGCGTGTCCTTGACGCCCCGGGTCTGATCGACGACTACTACCTGAACCTGCTGGACTGGAGCTCGGGCAACCAAGTCGCCATTGGCCTGGAACGGAACGTCTATGTCTGGACGGCCGATGAGGGCTCTGTCAACTGCCTTCTGGAAACCTCTCCCGACACGTACGTGAGCAGCGTGAAATGGTCCGGCGATGGAGCATACGTTGGCGTGGGACTCGGTACCGGTGAGGTCCAGATCTGGGATGTTGCCGAAGGCATCAAGATTCGCAGCATGTTTGGTCACGACAGTCGGGTTGGTGTCATGGGCTGGAGCAAGCACCTCCTATCAACTGGTGCGCGAAGCGGTCTGGTGTTCAACCACGATGTCCGTATCGCCGAGCACAAGGTTGCAGAACTCGTTTCGCATACATCGGAGGTCTGTGGTCTTGAATGGCGATCTGATGGCACCCAGCTTGCCACCGGCGGAAACGACAATCTCGTATCGATTTGGGATGCCCGCTCTCTTGCTGTCCCAAAATTCACCAAGACCAACCACAAGGCTGCCGTCAAGGCTCTCGCTTGGTGCCCTTGGAATATCAACTTGTTGGCTACTGGTGGGGGTTCCTATGATCGTCATATCCACTTCTGGAACACCACTTCCGGTGCTCGTGTCAACAGCATCGACACAGGTTCCCAGGTCACCAGTCTCCGATGGAGCCCTCACTATCGCGAAATTGTGAGCTCTAGCGGCTACCCCGATAACTCGCTCAGCATCTGGAGCTACCCTACTCTGGTGCGCAATGTCGAAATTCCTGCTCACGAGAGCCGTGTCCTCCATAGTTGTCTCAGTCCCGATGGGCAGATGCTCGCCACAGCTGGTAAGTTAATCCAAAAGGGAAGCTGTTGTCTGAAACTCTTACTGACCGGTATTACTAGCTGCCGACGAAAGTTTGAAATTTTGGAAGATCTTTGAGAAGAAGGCCGGATCTGGTGCTGGCATCAGCGGCGCTGGCACTTCTTCAAAGGCGACCATGTCGAAGCATATGACAATTCGTTAAGTGCTTCGATGGTCGTCCCGTTCTGTTGGCAGCGGTTCTGTTTTGTTTTTCTCTCGTGTTTTTCTCTCTCCTGTTTTTGGTCGTTTTAGCACGGCGTTTTTGGGGGGCTTAACAGCTTTTGTTCCTAGCCCAGGCTGAACGAGGCCCTTGGGTGAAGCGGGCACATACCTGGTGGTGTCTTGAGTGGATCATGAAGTTATGACGACAAAAACTTTGTATCAAGAGGGATACGTACCCTCACTTGTACTGGATCATATCAGATCGGTATTCTCTACGGTAATTGTTTAGAATCTTGCTAGTATGAGCTTGTAGAAGTCTGTATGGGGTGGAATAGGTAGTACCACTAAAATCAACGAAAGAAACAAATCATATATCATGAGTGAGTCCGCATGAGCAATGAATGGGTTGTCTCGAAATCTATTATTGCTGGTCCTGCTGCGGTTGTTCACGCGGCGCGATAAAATAGACCGTTTGCGGCGGTGAGGCGGATTGATCCCACGTAAAGTTGAAATGAAGCGATTGACCAGGACATGATGAACTTGCCTGCCCTTGACCCAGAGAGGGTGCTCTGCAAATTCCCAGGGGGGCATGTCGTTCGCTTCCATCCCGTCTTCGGCCATATGGTGTGGGATCGCAGGGCTGCAGGGCTGAACTGCTGCAGGGCGCGAGAGCTCAGCGTTTGTTCAGGGCACTCACTGCAGGCATTTGCGCGCGTTGCCGTCAGACCGGCAGTGGCAGTGGCCGCGGCTGTTAAGGTTGGCGGCTGGCTGACTAAGCAGGGGGTGGCCGGGGAAACTTCAAAGCAGGAATGGCAGGACAGTCTAAACTTACCCATTTCACCACACCCTACCATACTGAAGCGCCATCTGCTCTGAATCAAGACAGCACAATCTGCTGCTGCAACGCTACCGAGCGCTTCTGGATATTGCGCCTTACCAACTAGAAATACAATTCACTACGAGGCTTTCCAAAAGTTTTGAGAGTGCAGTCTGACGGGCGGCTCAGAAACCGTGAGAAGGTGGAAGAAGAAGTACCGAGCGCAGGTTTCAAGGACGGGAACGGGAACCTCTCCAAAAAGGCGGCGACTTCTCGCATTGCTGGATCCGCACGACTCACGAATCCCCGACCACCTCATCGCACTCACTCAGGCCAACTCCACACACAATACCTTCATCTAGGCAGACCTCACCTCTCATCATACACGCGAACTTGGATTCCAACGAAAAAAAAAAGATATCGTCAGCTGTTTTTTTTTTTTGAGTCCGCGCTTGAAGGACGACGGCGTAGAAGGAGCGGACAGCGTCACAGCAAGCAAGGCGTTCGGTTTGCTGACATAAACGCGTCTCCGTCATCGTGTGGAAGAACAAGACAAGCGTCATATCAACTGAAGGCTCTCTTGTGTCCCCGTCGGTCGAGCAGCCGCAACCATCAACCGCACGCAAGCAGGCAGCTAGCTCTTGTCTCCCTCGCTCGCCTCAAGGCATCGTCAACAGCAGTCGCGCAGGCCTCACCAAGTCAGCTGGCACTCCATACCGACGCACATCCATCCGTCACCTCGCTCCAATCAAGACAGTCACCATGTCCAACAACACTGTCGGTACCGTTTACGAGCACATCATCAACGAGGTGATCAACGCTGTCCGCGTCGACTTCGAGGAGAATGGCGTCGACGATAGTGTTCTGGAAGAACTGAAAAAGGTAGACCATTTTTGATTTTCTCCCGTCTTTACCTTCAACCGTGTCGCATCCCATTTTCCTTGTCACAATGTCGATTCCCGTCTCCTGTCATGTCGTATGCCCCGTTGCTCTTCTGCGACCATGTCGATGAGCGAGCGAGATCCAGCGTCAGGAATACATCGTTGTGTTGACGACAAGTGTCGGGTTCTGACGTTGGCTCCCTCTGCTGGCTGCGACCTTGGCCTTCGCAACGCGAAAGAGTGGGTGGAGGAGCAGGCAGCATTCGGGGGGCGGGCGACCCAGGGCCTTTTGGGGTCTCTTTTTAAGCTCTCAGTCAGGCTGGCTGGGGCTTCCCCTCTCCCATGACGCCGCTTCCGATTGACCATCCAAGTGCCGCAGCACGTGCCGCTTACTGGTGGTCATGAATGCCTGTCACCCTCCATCACCCCCAAACCTCGAGTCCATGAAAGCGATCTCATCCGACATCCATATTCACATCTCGTCTTCCATATATCAGGAGGACTAGGATCCTTATACATCAAGCAGCAGAACATAGCTTCGTCTATCATCTGTTTATAATATGTAACTAACATATCTCGGTAGGGATGGCAACACAAGCTGTCCCAGCTCAACGTTGCTCAGTTTCCTTGGGACCCCAAGCCTGAAGCACCACCGCCGGCGCAGGCCCAGCAGAGCACTTCCGCTGCCGTTAATGCGCAGGCGGCTGCTGTTGCCCAACAACAACAGCCAACACCCAACTACACTCAGTCGACCGTGAGTCCACAAACGGCCGCTCAGCCCCTGTCTATGCCTGGCGGCCAGCCCAACGGCAATGGCGTCGCTATCAAGAATGAGCCGGGCATGGCGAACGAGTCTGCCATCAAGCAAGAACCGGGCACCATGCAGCCCATGATGCACCCCGCCTACCCTGGCAACAACGCCGCTCGTGGTGGCATGGCCGCCCAGCGAGCTGCCCAAGCCATCGCAAGTCGGTACGGATCGCAGGCCCAGGCTTCCATCAACGCTATTCATCAGCAAACTCAACAGCCTCAGATCCCGGGGCAGGCACCACAGCAACAACAGCAGCAGCAGCTCAACCCACAGCAGCAATATCAGCAGAATATGGCCGCCCAGATGCAGCAGCAGCGCATGGCACAACAGCCTGGACAGCTTGGACAGCAGCAGCAGCAGCAGCCTCCCAACCAGCAAAATGGTCTTGGTGGCGCACAGGTTGATGGCCCGAGTGACGGATTCGACGGTGTCCTAATGCGTCGCGATGCGGACGGCAACCCTGTCGAGATGGGTCGCGTCGAGATCGACAACCTGCTCCACGCCAAGCTCCTGGAAAGGGCCAAGGAGAGGGAAGGAGGTGGCTTGATGCTTCCGTTGAAGGAAGCTACCAAGTCTCGTGGTACTGCATCCACCAAAAAGGAGCCGTGCCGCTGCTCGCGGTGCCGGTGCGAATCAGCTTGATGGAAATGACGAGGATGACGATGAGTTCGATGAAGACGCTATCAACTCGGACCTTGATGACCCTGAGGATGAAAGGGATGATGACGACGAAGAGGATGAGGCTAGTGGCTGGATCATGCTCTGTCTGTATGACAAGGTCCAGCGCGTCAAGAACAAGTGGTGAGTGATTCCCCCTTTTGGAGGAGGACGTGAGTTGAGGAAACAGTTACTGATAATTTCTACAGGAAGTGCACCCTCAAGGATGGTGTCTTGACTGTCAACGGCAAGGAATACGTCTTCCATAAGGCCAATGGCGAATATGAGTGGTAAGACAGGTTCATGTTGCCCTCATGGACGAGAATCTGGGTGGCCTTGACTAGAAGCTGCGTACCCTATCTGTCCGTGGGCATTGAACTGGCGGTTTGGCTCCGTGATTGACAGCAGCTTTGCCCAGGCCATACATACCCCCTAAACCAATATCGGTATGATGAGGGTATGGGAGAGGCTGCTGTTTGGCAAAGAGGACACTCTCACTTTTCTTTAGATGTGAGGTAGGCTTTCATCGATGCTATGTGGTCTCTCAGGTCTCCCACTAGCTATCTTTACATACGGATAAGCCATGGTATGAATGGAGGAAATTGGCCTCTTTGGTAAGATGGCTGAGAGGAGATAGAGTGGATGGGAAAAGCGATTAGGAGGAATAAGATTATAGGTTTGCGATGAGCGGGGAAGCGGAGGGAGAGGTGCGCGCGCATGAGATTTTGCAAGAGAATGATGAAGGCAGATGGATATATTTCTAGAAATTGGCGAGGCATGCATGGTCTCCAGATACCTAGGTGCGAAGTTCGAACGTCTTTAGAAATCTCATAAAATCGCTATCAGGCCTTGTGCCGGAATTGCTGTGAGTATGGTCTTTCATGTCTTGTTTCTGTCTTTACATGCGATGATCACTTCGTCTCTGACGAGCTCACAAGCTTGAAATCCAGGGCCTCGGACTCAGCAAGTCAAGATCCAATCGCACCGACTCCTTATCATGGCAACCTATATCCTGTAGCTGATTGAATGTTGCAATTTTTGCTCGAAATATGCAGCGAGAGAGTGTCACGGCATTTATATTGCTCCTCGTCCCGTCTCTCGGCATCTTTAGCGACTCCTGAAAAAGAAGGTTCAACTCCCGGCTGCATACGTGCAATGCCACCGGTTACACCCAAAACAGCGAAACATTTACAAAAGTCCGAGGTAGAACCGTTCATCAGAGTCCGAGCCGAGAAGTTAAAATCCACTTCGTTTTCCTCGGCAGAAAACCATCTCAACAATATGAGATAGGTGTATGTGCGTGCGGTTACACTGAACCATATTTTCCGAATTCACCATCCTGGACCTTGCAAGTTATCTGGATTTGCAGCCTATTGAAAACTCAAGTTCTGCCTCTCTCTATCTGACCGCATGTTGCAGCGTAGTGGAGAGAAAACAACTCTGTTGTTGTTGGAATCCGACCTTGAGGATGACAGTCTCTCGAGGAATAATGATGAAAAAGCCCGCCCGAGATGGGTTTCGAGGTTCGTGGTGCAATGAAGATCATGGACCGGAAGCTCGCTAGGGATGGTCAGAGACTGACGACGCGGTTGCTTAAAGGGTAAAGAGCTGATTAGTAGAATTAGAGCTTCTTTGCCTGATATCGTACCGCCACTCCCACGAGATATACCCCAATCCACCTCATACCCGACCACCGGCCACCTGCTCTCAAGCCGCGTAGAGCAAATGCGAGCCGCAATCATGCTACCACGGAGCGGGGTCCGTGAAGAAGAACAAGAAGAAGCAGCAGATATGCCGTCCCTCGTTGCTGCACTACAATGAAATCCTGGGCTGACCAGTGGCATCTATTCATCTGCGCGTGCTTGCAAGGAAGAACGCAACGCATAGCTACCATGTCTCGATATGGCTACACGAGGGTCTCGAACAGGGTGAGTGGTGGTACTGGCTGGGATCACGACTACCACTCTACGCATGGGCGTGGCGGCGGCCGTTGTACCAGTTTTACTACTATGGTATGGGAGCATTTTTCTGTCTTCGTTGGTTACCTATCTACCTACCTAGCCCCCGGGTTCCAAAGCCGGGATAGGACGAGCCCGGTTTCTAGTCTTTTGTGTTGCCAGCAATCAGTCAGTGAGGAGAGCTGGTACATATATCAACTTGATCCTCCCTCTGTCCAACCAGGGACATATGGAGACAGTTAGTTACTTCCTTTGAAACCATACCAGCCTCAACATCACTTCACATCAAAAGTCCAAGGTCACATCACGAAAGACCTTTGACCGGCGCGCTTCCAAAATGGGAGTCCACATCTACCAGCAACCAACACGGGAGAGCGACCTCGGACAGTCTTCCGCGACGGCATCAGAGAAAGATGAAGCTGCAGTCCAAGTTGAAAATGGCGACATCGACCCACCAAGGAACAACGAAAACGTGGTTCACAAAGAAGAGTTCTATGCGGGAAACAGCATCTACGCGAAACTGCACCGAATAACGGGGCGATGGGGCGTCGAAGAGCGAGGAATCGAGCGGTTGCCGAGCGATGAGAGGGATGCGAGGAAGCCGATGACTGTTGGTATCACGGTTAGTGTTTTTCTCGCCTTACCTCGCTCGTATCATGACATTGAATCTTCAGGTTGAACTGTGTTGAAGAGACAGGATATCGCTAATTACGAATGACCAGTGGTTTTCCATTAACATGACCTTCGTTTCTCTCACTTTGGGGGTCCTGCCCGTTGCTGCCTACGGACTGGGTTTCGTCGATGCGGCTATACTGATTATAGCATTCAACTTCCTGGGGAGCTTACCTGTTGCTCTCTTCTCGAGTCTTGGTCCGGTGTTTGGGTTGAGACAGATCCCGTTGTCGAGGTTTTACTTTGGTTATCATGGGGCCAAACTTGGTACTGTTGTTTCCTGCCCCCCGTTTTCTCTGTCTTCCATATACATGTACCTTGCCCCCAGGCACCGATTACTGATTCTCAGTGTTCCACAGCCGCCCTCATAAACTTGGCAGTCTGCGTCGCCTCCTCCGCCATCAACGCCGTCGTTGGCGCCCAGCTCTTCCACGCCATCCAACCCAAAATGCCCGGCTGGGCCGGCATCCTCATCGTTTCCCTGACTACCCTCGTCATCTGCACCATGGGCCACCGCTTCGTCCACACCTATGAGCGATACAGCTGGCTTCCCTGCTTCGTCGTGCTCCTCATTGTGTTAGGAGTCTTTGCTCGTTCGGGAAACTTCGACCCTTTACTCCCCCTTGGCACGGGCACCGCCGAAGCGTCCGGAGTCCTCTCCTTCGCTGCCTCTGTCTACACCTTCACCGCGGGCTGGGCGGCATACGCGGCCGATTACAGCATCTACCAACCGGCTGACCCCAAACCGAGCGCGGCAATCTTCTGGTGGACCTTTGCCGGTAACTTTTTCCCGACCGTGTTCACCGAGCTGCTGGGCGCGGCCGTGATGACAGCTACCGTGCACCGGCCCGATTTTCAGGAGGCGTACGACGAGGCCGGACTAGGTGGCGTGTTCAGCCACGTCCTCATCCCGCACGTCGGCAAAGGGTTCGGGACCTTTTGCATCGTTTTGCTCGCTTTGTCTATAATTGGGACCAATATTGCAACCGTCTACTCCGTCTCCATGTCCGTGCAAACCCTGGGCCGGAAGACACAGCGCGTGCCGCGCTTTCTGTGGACGCTCATCTCTACAGTGGGATACACGGCCTTTGCGATCCCAGCGTATGCAGAGTTTTCGACGTACCTGGAGAATCTGCTGTTGGCGATGTCGTACTGGATCTCGATCTACTTGGGGATTTCCTTGACGGAGCATTATATGTTTAGGAGGGGGGTGAGGGGGTACAAGCCGGAGGATTATACGGATGCGAAGAGGTTGCCGCCTGGGTATGCGGCGATTGCATCATTTTGCGTAGGAGCGGTAGGCGTGGCGATGGGCATTGCGCAGGAGTGGTATAGAGGACCGGTGATCAAGGCGGTGGGGGAGGAGTTTATGGGCGATTTGGGATGTGTATTTGGGTTTCTGTTTACGACTGTTTCGTATATGGTGTTGAGGACTATGGAAAAGCGGTATTTAGAGCGTTGAGAGGCAGGTGTCGGTGGGAAGTTCTTGGTTGGCGTGGCTTTGTTGTGTTTTCGTAGGGGCTGGGAAGTTAGGATTGGGATATAGAGAAGTCTTTATGGACAGGATTGAGAAAAAAAGTTTATGTTAAGTATGAGGAAGTGTCCAATGAGCTCGTATCAACATGCTGGAGCTGATACTTTTCGAGTGTCAGGAGGGAAAGTGAGGAAGTTGACAAGAGACAGCTCTATCTTCACGGACGACATTCACTACTGGCAGCTGGCACGGGCTGATTGGCACCTGCCAGACAACTCAAGAATTACTGGGGTCCGTGAATTGCGTAAACACTCAAGCTCTCCCTCGCAAAACTCACTGTGGTCTTAACAACATAGAAACAAGCAGACGATAATTGTCACGACGAATTCCACGCGCACCACCCAAAACATCGACCCGATCGACATCTTAGACCATTAACTCAACAAAATACCCTAAAATTTAATTTTCTAAAACCAATTGACCGAATACAAAACCGCAAGATGGCGCCCACAGTCCTCCCTGCCTCTGGCAACCCGCTGTAAGTCACGGCTATTCTTTTGTTCGTTAGTACCTGCGTTTGTATCGAGTAGAGGTACCCTTGTACCTCTCTCCTCATCAAGTCGACTCCATGGTATCATCCTGCCAGATCATATCTCATATCTCAAAAACCTACATGCTGCTACCGACTTCGTTATGTTCTGCTTTTCATCTCAATTTATAACCAAGCAAACGGCTTTCACTTCCATCATCACATCAACTACCACCTTGTGTCTGAGCTTTTAGCTCATCTTTCTGCTCTTAATCCCACCATCACCACTACACCACCATCAACTGAAGAGTCTACGCCACACATCCTCACCTCACTTGTCATGCATGACCTATAATTACACCCATCACTCCCCGCCATAGGTCACTTGCTACCAATATCCAGCCCATCAATGTAAACTAACTCATCATCAAAAACAGAGTCTTCTTCGACATCACCCTCGGCGGTGAGCCCCTCGGCCGCATCACCTTCGAGCTGTTCACGGACGTAGTCCCCAAGACGGCCGAGAACTTTCGTCAGTTCTGCACGGGCGAGAGCAAGAACAACCTCGGTCGGCCGCAGGGGTATAAGGGGAGCAAGTTCCATCGGATTGTATGTTTTTTTTTTTTTCCCCTTTCCCTTCTTTTATTTCCTCCCTCTTTCGATTTATTTTCATATGTCAAGCTTGTGAGGAACAGACAGGAAACAAAGTTGGCTGGTGATGAATGTTCCGAAAGAAAGCTAACGAAGAACAACAAAAAAAGATCCCCAACTTCATGTGCCAAGGCGGTGACTTCCTCAACGGCGATGGCACGGGGTCGACTTGCATCTACGGAACCAAGAGCTTCGCGGACGAGAATTTCTTGCTGAAGCATGATACGCCTGGGTTGCTTTCTATGGCTGTGAGTAGCCCCCTTCCTTCTGTTCCCTCCTTCCCTCCTTCCCTCCTTCCCTCCTTCCCTCCTTCCCTCCTTCCCTCCTTCCCTCCTTCCCTCCTTCCCTCCTTCCCCTCCTTCCCTCCTTCCACTGATACGAACGTCAAAACTGACACAACTTAACCAACAGAACGCCGGCCCCAACACCAACGGCTCGCAATTCTTCATCACCACCGTCCCGACCCCTTTCCTGGACGGTAAGCACGTCGTGTTTGGTAAGGTTGTTGACGGCATGGATGTTGTCAGGAAGATGGAGAACACCAAGACTGGATATCGCGGCAAGGACGTGCCGAACTTGGATGTTGTGATTGCCCAGTGTGGCGAGATGTAAATAGGGGATGCGGTGAACTTGCATGAAATTCAGCAGGGCACGAAGCATGGAGAAAACCAATCAACGCGGTCAATCATGTACATGGATAAGGGGAAGTGGTCGATGTCGTATAACAAGTCGTGAATTTAACTACATAGTCAAGTTTTGAACGCCGTAACCAGAACCACATGCTCATCACCTCATACATCAATCATATCACTCAAACCCAAGGAACCCAAGGCACATGAGAAAGACGTCCAAGTAATAAAAAAAACAAAACAGACCCGAATGAATTGCCCAGATTCGGAAGTCCTTAGCAAGACTCATAACTACACGGTAGTCATGAAGTCTATAAGAAGAAGAAGAAGAACAAGAACCGAAGAAACGTATTTTCCCATCAAGAAGGCGAGTGCGTCTGCCTTGCTCTTGTCAAATATCCCTGTCTCAGACAAGGCCGTGATAGAAACAGGGTTCAAAAAGAACGACGAGAAATGAAAACATGAAATTTGGGTATGTGGTATCTCAAAACGACAAGCTGGTAGAAGAGAAGAAAAGAGATGAAACAACCTAAAGAGAGAGAAAAAACAAAAATGGCAAAAGAAATCCCGAACCCGCAAGATCCTTTTGTCCTCCCTCGCCCCGTTCCCAAGTAGTTCTTCCAACTCCTGTCCATACGATCGTCATCATCTAATGCAAGCTCCTCCCTCCCCTTACATGCCGATGCATAAACGAGGTTGCCCCCTTTTTCATATCTCTCTTTTTCTCCTGTCTCATCATATCCGGCCGGCCAGTCATGCAACAAATGCCTATGCCATCCCCCATGAGTATCCTGTCTGAACCAAAACGCCTGAATGAAATGTGTTTTTGTCATAAGAGAATGGATTGTGAAAGAGTGTGTGTTTTGGTTGTTTCGTGAAAGAACGGCGTCCCGCGTAAACAATGCCGTTGTCTTGTGCCTTAGTCAAAAGGGTAGAGAGAGGGCAAGAAAGGGCGCCGCGCTTTTTGTCCACCACCAGGTCGTACAAAGCGGGCCGCATTTTCCGTCAACGGCAGGAACATTGGCCATTGTCGTGATGTGACGACTGACTTCAATTCCTACTGACAAAGCCCCATTGGCCTTTTCCGCGACGGAACTTGGGAGCGCTCGTAGTCTGGTTGTGCGCGGTCTCGTAGATGGTCGCAGTCGCGGCAGTAGTCGTTGTGGTCTCAGTTATGTAGACGGTGGTCGCGGGCATGGAGATGGTCTGCGTGACAATCACAAATTTGGTATTTCCGGCGACAAGATTTTGGCCGCTTCCTCCAGTTGGCTTGTTGATGCTAGCCGGTGCGGACACACTGAATACCTGAGATGCAGTGGCTAGTATCGAAGTAGGAGCCGAGGTTGATGCTTGAGACGCAGATAAGGCAGGCGCAGATGTTGCCGGAGCAGGAGCGGCGGAGGTGAGGAAGATTCCACCGCCGGCAGGAGGGCCTCCGGTTTGAGTTGCAGAAGATGTCGGGGCGGGAGCAGTGGAAGATGAGGCGCCAACAAGCCCTCCACCAGTGTGAGAGCTTGCGGGCTGTGTTGCAGAAGGAGCAGTAGCAGTGGCTCCTGCAGGTCCGCCTTCGTTGTGTCGGTTCAAGGCCTTGATCATCCACTCCTTTGGAAGGGGAAAAGGAACATCTTGCACCCCAACCAAGTCGAAAAAAGGGATGTCAGATGAGTTATAGTTGACGCCATCTTTCATTGGCTTGCCCGAATCTGGCATTTTTACCATGAAAAGATTCTCCATTTGCTTTCTGATAGCAACTTGGGTCCAGTTCGTATTGGGCTCAAACTGAACCAAATCCTTGCCACCTCCCTTGGAACATCCCGGACCTTTAACTTCACCAAGGCTTGCGTCGCAGTGGTCCACGATTTTGATATCGACAATTCCGGTGTAGATCTCCACAGTACTGACACTAGGGTCAGTGGGGAAAGTAGGAGGGGCGACAGCAACACCACGTTCTTTCATAAGTGGCCAGTCCCAGACCCAGAGGATCGTGTACACTTGTCCGATGGGGATATCATCCGGGAGCTTGATATCTGACTGGCACATCAGTTTTGATGACGGTCCTTGTGCGGGTACGGGGAAAGTGGTGTTGCGAAACCCCTTGATGCCTTCTGGGTCTCTGGTCACGTCGTTGTAAAACTCATAACATTGACCATCGTCATAGTGCCTGGTAGCCAAGAGTCTCCCCTTCTTATTGCCGCCAGTGCCATCAGGTGTCCATTTTCCGTGAACGTCACCGAACTTGACATCGGTTAGGTCGTTGATGTTCGTTCCGTAAAGGTAAATCGTACCACGGTTGATGGGCTTAATCTTGTCCGTAAGAGTCTCTGGTAGCGAAACGTGACCGTTTTCGTTATATTTGATGGCCACCCAGTCTCCGGGAGCAGCGTTTAGCATTGGCATAAATCCTGGACTGTAAGTTTCAGGAGTGAAGGCTAGCTTTTCCTGTTTGACAATGGGAGCGAGCTCTACCTGGATCCCCTGAGCGTTGACTTGGTACTCATTGCGCTGGTCTTTATTCTTGTCATCAAAAATCCACTTCCTGGGGTAGCCGAGAGAGCCGACGAAGGTGCCGTTTGGTGCGATACGCTGCGTTTCTTCGGGCCAGGAATGTCCTGCTGAAAGTTGGGCTACGGCAAAGAGGGCGGCAACCAGCAGGCCCCGAGTGTCTTTTAGCGAGTATGTCTTCATGGTGTGCTGTCTCCAGAAGCAGGGCGTAATGTTGTTGTGTATCTTGTTGCTTGTCGAAGGGCGAAAGGAGGAAGGAAGGAAGACGGTGTCAGAAAAGTGAGAGCTGGAAAAGTAGCGGCGTGGTGGAAGAAGTGAGTCGAGGTCTAAAGTGGTTCAACGGCCAGCGTAGAATATGACCAGCATGGGTATAAGAATGGAGAACGAGCTGGGTGACTCCTATTGTACTCGTGTGCTTCTTCAATAGGACATTGTGACGGGTTTGTGAAACTGTGGTGAAATCGAGGGGACTTTTATCGACGAGACACAATAAAGAAGAAGGCAGGTGCGCCGGCTCGTCGATAAGATTGTCCACCGGCCGAGGAAGCGTGACGGGTGGGTCGAAGGAAAGTCGGGATTGAAGCGTCAAGCAAAGGCGGCGGCTGTAGAACTTGTTTGGACCGAGTCGAGAAAGATATCGAGCCGATAGTCACCAATGCCTGGTGATCACTTGCTGCCGTCGTCAAAGGAAGGTGATTGTTGTTGGTAGAACTGAATTTCTCGAAGTTGGAACCAGCCTGCTAGTCGATCCGACCCACGGGGCCAATGCAGGGGGGATGAGGACTAAGAAGTAAGGACTGAAGTGAGGAGTCGAGGACGGTCTGCAGGAGGATGATCAGACGGGGCGGGTTGTGAGAGCCGAGTTGACCGTGAACAAGAGAAGAGTATCACGCAAACCTGGGTAACGGGATCGGAGTGCGTGATGTTCGCCGCGTCCTTACAAGTAGGACGTTATATTGGAGGGCAAGGGAAGAGAAAAAAGATCTAGCAGGATCTAGATGCCACAAACAGACACACCACGATTTGGTAGCACGGCGGGATGCGCAACACTTGAAACCTCAAGGGCCCGAAATGAGAAGGGAGCTTGTGTACGCGCGGGACATGGGGAGTGCGTCACGAAAGAATGGAAAGATGGATGGATGCAGTACCAGCCAGGCCGAGTGGAAAGAGACCTTCCCATTCCTTCCTATTCAGAACAGTCATACCATTGCCCTGACTGCCCTGAGTCCATATCATCAAGCCATCGTCCATTGCCCATTCCCATGGTCCATTGTCCACTGGCGGCTGGCGCATTGAAACAAATAAAAAGACGGAGCCTACGACTAGCCCCTGGGCTGGACCGGCTCACTGGATCATGATGAACGATGGATGCGACGTTGGCTCTTGCCCAAGAATGAGATGGATGGATGGAAATTGGATCAAAGTGGTGCAACTGCCCAAGCTGTTACAAGTTGGAGCCCATCTGCCATGTCGTTGCTTCCCGACCATCGTCAACGAACCGTTTGATGTGGAGACGCGCTAGTCTGTTCTGAAAATGCAGGCACGCAGCCGGTTTGGTTGGTCGTCGCTTGCCCACCGTGGCCGACATCCGCAGAGCCAAGATTTGGTGGGGCGGCGTCAAGCGCTGTCGGACAAGGGTTGGAGCCCCATATGCCCCACCTATCCATCCATTGATCCCTCCTCCCCGCCACGTCCGCGTGGCTTGTCCCCAGATCTTTTTCCTTACCTCGCTCCAATTCTTCCATGGATCTCGCCCAAACAAAGACAACAAACGCCAAGTTGTTACACCCAGCAACATGCAAGACAAATGATGACTTGCCGTAGGCTCCTGGTAGCCCCGGGCATAGTCTAATTCTTCTGTTTCTTATTCTCCGGCGGCTCTCTCCCAGACGTCTTCCAGAACCTCCATGTTGACTCGCAGCGAACGTGACCATAGAAACGGCGCTTTGTTTCAAGGTCGGAGGAGATCAATGCGCTGCCCTCCGAGGCATCTCGTTGGCTGGTTTAGCCGCCTAGCCGCCCGCGCTTCCAGCTGTTCGATACTGAGAGGTCCGTATCAATATCCCTTTCCTCAAACAAAAACGAAATTGCCCTCTGCTTCACGTTGATGGAGATGGCGTTTTTTCGAGACATGCCAAATTCCCATTCCCGGGCGGAAAACCAAGATCCGGCTACCCTATGGCGCAAACTAAGCGCTGGTTTGGGGGCCTGGTCTTGTCGTCGGACCCCCCCTGCACTTGTATGCGCCGCATAAATCTACAACCGCCGCGTTGATCATCGGAATACCACAAAGAGGAATCCCATCCGCGAAAGGTGGTAGCAATACACACAGACACACACCTTACCCTCTTACCCATCCTCAGTGATGTACTTATTGCCCCTCATTCGCCTCCAACTCAATGCCAACTCTCGCCATCCTCCAGATTCTTTCAAACCAGACCCGGGACGAACTTTCACTCAGCGCAAACCTATCCGCCGCCTCTTCACGTGCCCCTGAGGTGACGTTCGTTTCATCGTTTGGTTCTCTGCACTTTGTTGAGCTGGTGGGCGATTGCTCATCAACCGCCTGAAGAAGGATCCCAGTCAACAAAGTTTCGTGGCCAACGGCAAATTTCGCCCGTCCCTCACATTTCCTCACAGGGAGGTTGAAATATCATAGCCAGAACACGAAGCGTGTTCTCAGTTATATTGTTCTCTTCTGTCCCGAATCTTGCGGTCAGTAAAACCTTCCCATCATCAATCATCAATCTGCGCACAACAATCGTATCACCCGCATCAAGTGATCCAGCCGAGTCTATTTCGCCTTGCAGTTGCTCTTGTGCGGGGTCATCTCAGAAGGCCACAAATCTACTATGAAGGCTTCACAGACGGCTAGCGCACCTACCGTACCCCGCCAAACGGTCATATCCGAACACCGAATTTGGTGACTGGTGAGCTTCGTGGATGTGTGTGTGTGTGTGTTTGTTTCGTTTCATGTTTCCTCCACAACCCCTCCAGATTGTTTCCTGGTGCAGGCCCAGAATGGCACACCAGTGAATAATGAACAAGGACCGTCCCTTGTTGTGCGTGCGTGTTGTGTTTGTTTGTCCCCTCCATCCACCCACACCCTTGAATGTTACGGTTGGGGGACACCCCTGGCGAATGACAGGGGTGGTTTGACAACCATCTGAAGATTAGACAAAGATGTTTCTGGTATCGTTTTCTTTTGCTCTGAGTCTGGTGAACAACTGAGATGACTGAGTATCGTGATGAAGTACGATGAGTATCTCAGACACACTCAGTGCGCGACGTAGTTCTAATAGTTCTCGTTACAGAGCGTTCGTCTCCCGAAACCTAAGAATGACGATCAAAATATCATTTATGTTCTTTCTCTTCAGCTATAACTCAGACACCTGCAAGTCACAGTTGTATGACAAGGTCAACGACAAGGTCAACGACAAGGCAGAAGTACTCTGTGTCTCATTGAATTTGGATTATCTTAAGGTGTCGCGATTCCTGGATCATACCCTTATTGTCCTAATTTTTACCATTTGAACAACACCCATTATGAGAAGAAAAAAAGGAAAGGAAATTTCCCCAACAGAATCCAAAATGCGCCCTGTGAATATGCGTCATGGCCCCCAAAAGCGAAAAAAAAAAAAAACCAGAAAGGAAGAAAACCCAGATCCCTATATGCCATGAACGCCCATTACGTACCAAGCCATTTGATAAAAGGGTGTGCATATCCACCTACCTATCCAAGCCGTTCATCCATCCATCCATCCATCCAATCCAACTATTAGCAGAAGAACTCCTTTGGAACTCCCCATCCAGATTATGTTTTTGTTCCATTCCCATCCAATGTGCGCTCCGCACTCCGATTAAACTTGAGCCCCTTTTTGAGTTTGTGGTTGTCCCCAGTTCCCTAGTCCGCATACTCCTCGTCATCATTCTTACTATCACCTTCACCTTCCTCGTCATCCTCATCATTATCATCATCATCCCCCAAATCAGCAACTGATCGGGTACGCTTTACTCCTCTCATCAGTGACTGCGGCTGAGAATGCTGGTGGTAGTTGTCATCTCCCCCCATATGCACCTGCACCTCCTCCTCCACCACCAACGCGGCACCTTGTGATCCATTCACGCTAGCTACGATCTCATCCCACTCTTGGGAAAGGCGGTGGCCTTCTTCGGGGGAGTTTGAGCTGATGGATCGATGCTAATGCTGGTGCTGGTGCTGAGTAAGTTGTGATTGGTACTGATCTTGATGATGCACATATTGATGCTGCTGCTGCTGGGACTGGGATTGGGACTGGTGATGGTCTTGCTGTTGTTGTTGTTGATCAGAGGTCACAGGCCAGTGAACCTCCGCACTGGTGGACGTGGCTGGGGTCCAGAGATCGTGGTCATCGCCGCCGGGATTGCCGCCAAGCTGCCATTGCTGCTGCTGCTGTTGATGCTGCTGATGCTGCTGATGAGAAGGTTGATGAGATGCCTGATGTAGTTGATGGCTGTACCGCCCATCAATGGACCCCGCTCTTGAAACGGGATTACTTCCGTGATGAGAAGCAGCAGCAGCAGTCTGAGGATGCAAGTGCTGAGATGATGCCCTGGACCATTGCTGCGTGCCACCACCGCTAGCATTGGCAGCGGTGAAATCCGCTGATGCCGCCGCTGACCAGGTTGGGTCCAACCCGCTAGTAGCAGGCCCCCAGGTTGGCGGTGCTGTTGTGGAAGGGCCATAGATATTAGATGTAGCGGTCAAAAACGGATCCGTCACAGCAGCCAGATCATTCAGTGAAGGCTGCGGTGGATGATGGGCATGATGATGACCGGCATGTGAAAGACCGGTATGAGCCTGGTGGTGGGCTGGATGTTGATGTTGATGTTGATGACTGTGACCGTAGTGCTGCTGACTTCCACCACCACCAGCCGTAGCCCCTGTGCCATCAAAGTTATGAGTAAACGAGTTACTCATCGTAGCACTAGGAGGAGGCGTCTCCAAACCCGAGTGGGCGCTGGCGCCACCGTGGCTTCCCAATCTTTGTCCTCCTCCGTGTCCGCCTCCTCCAGCTCCCCTCATGCTATGCTCAAGCATCATCTGGAACTGTACATCATATCCTGATGCCGCAGCCGCAGAACTGAGGTGCGTAGCCCCGGAGCCTACGGAGGAGAAGGAACTCCGGGTGTCTGTACCACCTGCCCAGGCAGTAGAGGCTGTGGCAGCAGATGCGGTGGCGGAGGCGTTATATATGTCGCCCATAGCGTTCACGTGCTGAAGGTGGTGCTGGTAGCTGGACGTAGGGGACATGATCAGGTTCAGATCGCCAGCGCGACCTCCCATGCCAGCGGCCGTGGTCCCCATTGATGAGGAGATGGGCGACGGGATAAATGCTTCTGTTGCCCCCACCCCCATGCCATGAGATGTCCCGGGATACTGGGCGTTGATGCTCAGCGAAGCATTCCTACCAGCGGCGGCAGTGTGGCGATTTGGCCCAATGATCTGTCCAGCAGCAGCGGCGTCGGAACTACTAAGCAGTGCCTTTTGCTGATGGTATGGACTTGTCGGGTCGAGCACGGTCAGGAAGCGCCAGCTAGTTTTTCCGGTTTGTGCGGTGAGCAGCTTGCCGTCGTTGTCGAGGCTGTGGATGGTCTCGAAGGTCCAGAGAATCACGGCACGGCGGGTCCATTGCTGCGACTGACGGTGATGGCTTGTGGCCCCAGTGCCGTCTTGTTCGAGGGGAGACCCAGGTGGACAGGACCAGATCTCTTGGAGCATGGCGATTTGGGGGACTAGATCCATTTGTGTTTGCTGGCCGCCGTCTGCATCTCTGCCACCGCCGATGCTGGAGCGGGTGCTACTGGTGGTACTTTCGGTGTCGTCGTTGTCTTCGGAATCTTCTCTTTCTCTTTTCAAGGAAGTGGCTGCTGCTGCCGCCGTCCTCTTGTTGATGTCTCCCCGCACACCGGTAAACTGGTGAGCAGGATACTCGGCGGCATTGGTGAGGGTGTGGGCCCATGCGTCCGCTGGGAACGGCACCATCACCCACTCCCGGCGTGACCGGCGCGCTGAGATGCACTCGCATTGATACTCATGCCCATCGACATTCCGGGGCCCGTCGCACCCGGGAAGGTGCTGGTACTGGATGGCGATCTCAGCGCCCGTCTCATAGTATGTTTGAGGCGGCGACTTTTCGCTCACAAAGCTCAACTCGGCCGGACGGACCAGCTTCGTCTCAACCTTCCATCGGTGGCTGAGCAGCTGTGGTTGCTCAATGTTGATCTCGATCCAAGAGTTAAAGTCCGACTGGTTGGGAAATCCTCGCTTCTCCTTGAGCTCCACGGCGACGTTCATGTGCAAGTAATCGCAGCGACTATCGGCGGCGATGATGGCCTCAAGCCGCTCATGGAGTTCGGGAAACGAGGTCTCCCACCCCCTGCTGACTTCCCTGACAGTGCTGGACTCTACCTGGCGAATTTCCTTTGTGAACTCGTGCAGAAGCGAGCCCTTGAAGATCTGCTGCTCTTCCTTGGCCCATTTCTCCTTTTCCAAGTTGCGTTCAAGGTGAGGGTATTCGCTCTTGTCCAGCCTGTCGCCCGTGGTAGGAAGGTATCCGGTGCCGTCACCGCGGACGGTGACGTTGGGGTGTGACACGAAGATCCAGCATCGCTTGGGCCGGATGGCAATCTGGTCATTGAGTGCAAGGATCTGGGCAAAGTACTCGTAATTGGGCCGCTCGTCGGGAAGACGACCCTCTGCCAAGGCAATCAGCACCGGGTTTTTCTTGAAAGACTCGATTTCCTTGAGTTCCCTCGCCGACAAGGGCTGCTTCTTGCAAGCCTTGGGTCGTCTGTTCTTCTCTTCTTTATTCTCTTGTCGAGGGAAGAAGAAGTGGACTATGCGCAGGGAGAGCGGGCAAGGAGGTCCCGTTGGTTAGCTTGTGTGAGCGCCACAGGATAATATAGAATCTGCACGACAGGGAAGCAAGCGCAGGGGAGGGTGAGAGGAGGAGCCTGACAGGGCCGGAAAAAGAAATGTTTGCTTGGGCAACGTGACAAGGGGGGTTGAGTTGAAGTGAGCTTAGCGTGCAATGGTGCTGAACGGAGCGGAGGGCTTTCTGACGAATTCAAACACTTACAGCATCGATGATTCAGAAAGAAGTTCTTCAACACTTGGATGTGGCTCGACACCTGTTTTCGCTTCCTCCTCATCTTCGGGTCCGGCTCGGTTCCGGGCGGCAAGCTGGCACAATACGCTATCCAGAGGAACTCAGCAATCAACATGTTCCGACCCCAGAGCTTCGAACGCATCGTGTACTTTCTCTTTCCCATTTGCTGTGGGATAAGCAACAGAGCTGTGGACAAGTACGTGTATCAGCCACCTGATCTGCAATGATAACATTACGAGGTTATTCAGAAGATGATCCTCACCGTCAAGAAACGCATCCTCGAGGACATCGGGCCATTTCTGGTCCGACTTTTCCTCCTTGCTCTTATTTGCTTGCTTCTTCCTGTAACTGAGGAACTGGGGTGACAAGTAGATCGGGTTGATGCCACGTTGACTTCTCTGAAGTTGCATCTGATGCCGTTGCTGTAGCCTTAGGAGCTCGGGAGGGCCATAGCCGGAACTGAGAGACTGAGTCGGGATAATGGGTAAACTAGGAATGGAGAGTTGATGATGTGCAAACGTCGATCTTACCAGAGCACCGAATTGTTGTTGTTGTTGCTGCAGTTGTTGTCGGCGTTGTTGCTCTTCGTGCTGTTGTTGGAAGTGATGATACTGAGCATTGCCAGTGGACTCGCGCAAAGGCGGTCTCGGTGCGGAGAGGACACGGCGATGATCCGGGCCAAAGTCCGACGAAGGCGGGTAACACTGCGATGCAAGAGTCGTGGGTCTGACTGGCAACTCCATGTTTGGAGCAACGGAACAAGGACCACTGAGCGGTACACACTTCGGAACTCGCTCGACCAGCTGAGATGAAGAGAGAGAATGCTCGGAAGGAATGACTTGTCGTCAGACGCAAGCCAAAGGAGATATAAAATATGCTAGTACCAAGGGGGTCATGAGCCGTTGAGGCATGGAGGGGGAGTAGTCAATATCTTATAAAGGGCCGGTGCCCTTCCCTCGATAATGACCACCAATCCCAGGCCGGCCGTACTTGGGATGTTTCTTGCAACATGCTGCTCGAGGGCGACAGTTGCCCTGGGTGTTGTCAAACAACTGTTATTAGGTCAGCTGCTTGTTGTTACCTGGACAGGACCAACTGGCACGCAAGGGAACCGTACCAGTTGACAAGGGGAAATCTGCAGCACCAGTCAGTCGGAACCGGCCATCAAACCATAGGCAGAAATGGGAGGACTTGGACCAAGCAGCCCTCATTCAGGCATGCGGCAAGATTACTTTGCACAGTACGGATGTAAGCACGGGAGAGAAGTGTGCGTGAAAGGGAATTGGATGTCAATAAAGGTGGTTGTCCTAAAAAGGTAGACATGGCTGACAAGGGTGGCGACCACTTCCTTCACAAGGGAACCGAGACATGATTGCTGCATCCCCGTCCCAAATCTGAGACCTAGGGAAAAGATTCAATTCTTCATGTGCTTCATACTTCATCTTCATCGTTATCTCCAATAGTGACCTTCGCCCGCCCTGTCCCTGTAAGCTGCTGCAGGGCGACCTTATTAACCTGGGCACGAGTCTTCTTCTCCATCGCAGCGATCTGGTCCTCCGGATCGATATCCTCCGCCTGCGCGAAATCAATAACAAGACGACGTCCGAGAATATGGGTATCTTTGAGAGAAGTGAACGCGTTGAGCGCCTCCTTGGCCGTGGAAAATTCCGCAAAGGCAAAACCGCGCGATGATTGGTTGAACTTTTTGGGAATACGGAGCGCAACCAACTTGCCATAGGTGCTGAACAAAGTCCGTACCTCGTTCTTGGTGACTTCGAAGGGCAAGTTCTTGATGACGAGCTTGGTGCCTTGGCTGGCCGCCTTCTTGGCCATATCTTCCCGCCTCCGCTCCTCAGCGGCATCAAGGCCTCTGTGTGATGCCTTGACGCTGAGTTTGTGGGCCTCAAGAACATGGCCGTCCATGACCTTCTGTGCAGCCTGTGCCTGGTCCTTGGTACGGAAAGCCACGAAACCAAAGCCCATGCTGAGCACCTGGCCTGGTTTCTTGGGGTCTGTCTTCGTCTTGACCTTCGCGTTGACAAAGCCATCCAAATGTTTGAAGGCGTCGGTCAAGCCCTGGGAAGTGGTGGAGAAGTTGAGATTGCGAACAAACAATGAAGAGGTCTCCAAGGACTGTTCCTCGGCATCATCGCGTTCGAGCAAGTCAGCCACAGACGGCTTCTGGACACCAGCAGGACGGGCCTCTGTGGGTGCAGCCACATTGTCGGTGAAGAGACCCTTCGGTCCCTTCTCGAGGAACAAGACAGAGTCCTTGAAACGAGAATATGCCTTCCTGGCAAAAGCTGTCCTGCACTGCACAGGCTGTGCAAATTGGACAATGGCAATGGTGCCGCTGGGTGGCATGAGTACTCGGAGAACGGTACCATGCTCCTCGAAAAGAGTCCGCAACTCTTCAATTGTGGTGTTCTTGATGTTCTTGACAAGGATGGTGGTGTCGCCCCGCTGTTGTGTCTTGAAGGCCTCAATGTTCACACCATTGGCAGCGAAGTATTGCTTTGCTTCCTGGATGACCGTTGTCTCGGCAACAGCCTGCTTGACAGCAGCTGACGCATCCGTGGGATCGAGAAGCTCTGCCTTTGACACGCCTAGACGTTCTGCCATTGCCGTATTCACAGCATCTTGACTCATGAAGAGGGAGTTCCAGTTGAAGGTGCTCGAAGCAGCCTCAGCCTTCTTCCTCAACAACTGCTGCTTCTTGAGAGGCAGCTTCGACAGAGCGAATTCGTCCAGCTTGTTCTCCCTCTTGGCAGCGGCGGGCAGGATGTGGGCGATCCGGCCTTGAAAGACAGTGCCATCTGTCTGGAATGCAGCAATGGCGGACGCCGGCTTTTCGTAACGAATCATAGCAAAGCCCTTGCTACGGCCCTTGCTATCCAATGGGACATGTACCTGACGCAGAGAGTCAGCAGGATTTCAAAGCGACAACGATCCAAAACATTTTGAAATAATCGGCCCTATGATCAGAAACTCGAAGCATCTACTAAAATACCGAGCCCAAATTCACATCATTTTGCCATTGGCATAAGATGTCCCTATCAGGGGTTCATCATAAAGAGGGCGAAAGAGAAGGGGAAAAAAGAAGTTGCAGCTTACCTCTTCCAAAGTGCCAAACTTGGCGAAGTGCTCTCTAACATCATCCTCGGTGACGGTGTAACTGAGGTTCCTCAGGAAAAGCCGTGATGTCTTTTCAATCAGGCTTATAGCAGACTCGGGGTCTTGCTTCGTGGCCCCTGTCGTTGCTTTGGAGCCATCGGCGGGGTGCTCCTCAGCCTTTGCCGACGCTGTGTTCTCAACAGACGTGGCGGGCACGGGAGCAGGTGCTGCTGCAGCTGGACGAAGAGCTAAAGCTGCATCATCTGGGTCGACCAAGTCAAGGAGACGGTTCGTCCTCGAGCGGAGCCAGTCGTCATCGGTAGCATCAAGAGACACTGGTGGAGCTGACTCAGACGGCTCAACGGCAGCAGGTGTCGCAGATGATTCAACACCTGCTACAGGAGGGGCGTCGACCATTTCCTGATCGGCGATGTGTGTCGGCTGATTCTGAGTACGAGCGGGGATTTCCTCATATTCATCATCACTTTCACCATCCTCCAAGCCGGCAGGCACAGCTGGAGCCAGGACCTCGTCGACGGTGATGGGAAGGCCCTCGGCATTGCGCATCTTCTTGGATGGGTGAGCCCCCATGACATCGAGGTACTCCTGGAGTTTCGGATCGGCTGCATCCAAAGCATCCAGTTTCCTCTTCGGGGCATCTGGGGCAACCTCCACTTTAGGTACCGCGGCGGCAGCTACCTCGGTGTTGGGAGGGATAACCTTGGGCGCATTCTTGGGGTCGACATCTTTCGAAGGAACCCTTGAAGCTGATTTGTGATGGGGGATTGAGTCGGCAATCTGATGGATGCTGTTAGTATTGAGTTGGCTGACCACCAGTTGGGAGGGCAGACTGGAACATACCGGTTTCGCTATGTCGACTGCAATCCTGGACATGCGGATGAAGGAGCGGTTGAAGTATTTGACCGCCCTGGCGGCATCTTCCGCCGACTTGTAGCCGACGAAGCCAATATGGCGGGCTGGGATAAGTTTGACATCGGTGACCTGGCGACCCTCAGCCGAGAAGTGCTTGCGAAACTCGGCTTCGGTGATGGTCGGCGGCAGGTTCTTCACGAAAATTCTTGATGATGACTCCATTGCTGCAGCCTCTGTCTATGCAAGACAGTTGATGGACCGGAGGCTTGCCGCAAGATCATTCCGTCGAGGATACCGAGTACCTGCAGGTTTGTTGTAATTGGGGGAATGGAAAGCTTTCGCCTAAATTTTTCCACGGTCATCCATAATAAAAATTTCCCGGCCCCCACTGGAGCTGCGTCCTTATCTTATCGCGCATATGGCCCGGGCGGACCAATTCGTTATTTGCAGTGGAGACCCTGACAAAGCTGAGTGGTGACGACCGCCCTGCCCGCCCGTGCCGGCGCGGCGCCAGCCCAGTGGCACGGTGACATTGAGCGCACTTGTTCGGCACGACCCATGGATCTAGGCTCCGTTCTCCAGCCTCACAAGCGCCCGTCGCCTGGCATCATCTTGTTGGACGGCTGTCCTCAGCTAGAGAACATGTGGATGTTATGCTTTACATAGTGTCTTTTTTTCCTGCTATAGCGCCAATGAGCGGGAGAAGGTGTTCCTGAGTGGTATCATTCTTCTAGCTGATGAAGGCCCCATTTGGCGAGATCGCGGGTGCTGCCATGCGAGGTTCTTGCCAGAGCCCGTATATAGAAGCTTCTATACTTGAGGTTCCTGACTTCCAACTTACATAGTACGTGTAACCGTACAAGTACATACAGTCAACAAGTCCAATGTCCATGAGGTTGTGATGGTCTTCTCCACCACCAAAGAAGCAAATATTCTATGACCATCAATCATGTCCAATCGAGGTTAAAGGACAAAATGGGTAGAACCCAGCACGGTGCATCTCCCGTCTCCAAGTCTTTTAGTCGTAAGTGATGATTCGTTCGTCGCCGTCCACCCCTAGCACGCCCAGAAGCCCCAGTCGAGCCCAGGCACTTGATGAACCGGGGCGTCACAGTGGCTGCAACAACGAAGGAACCCAACTGCCCTTTTGAAGGTAGGTACAACGCAAGGTAGGTATCTAGTGTACGTACTTCAGGGCGCCTTGCCGCCCTGCCGCCCTTTCTGACCGCCCACACCTGACGCTTTGAGTCCATCCCCAGAACACCTCCGACACGAGAAACATCCAGTCCCTTCATCCAACGAAGTACCCCGACCAACCACCCGCCCCCTCGCCTGATCGTCTATCGACTCCGTACCACTTCACAACCTCGACTTCGTACCACTTCACAACCTCGACTCCGTACCACTTCACAACCTCGACTCCGGCCTGCTATCAACCATCAACTAGGTCTTGGACCTTTGCGATCTTTGCAAACCCCACCACAAGGAAGAACCGAAGCCAGAGGTAAGGCATCCCGCACCACCGTCTTCGGGTATCAGTGTCGCTTCGTCACCGAAATCGCATCGGCTTGTTTGCGCCTATCCTACCGCATGTTGTTAGACCCCTAGTTGGGCATGGGCGGGTAAACAACAGGGATCACATGGTGTCACCCCCTTTCCCGTCTCCTCATATATACCAACCCAGTCAACAATCATCTCTCTACCGGACTGTAGCTTGAGCCTCAATCAAGCCATCTTGTCGTTAACCCTTGACGTTGCAGACTATCTCGGCTCCCTTCGAATAAGAAACCCCGCCGCATCTACGAACCTCCAAACGGTTATCTCCGCATTACCCCTACACCATCGCAACCATGGGCGGCGACGAGCTCAAGGACCTTTCCCCTGCTCCCAGGGAGAAGTTGGAAGGTGAGATATCCATATACGGGCCTTCAACGGGGCTGTGCTCTCTACACCTGAAACCCGAAGAATATGAGCTGACGAGATGTTTGTGCTGGATAGCCCAGATCAAGAGTGCCGATATGGTAAATCGCGACCCTCACGAACGATCACACACGACAAAGCCTGCCCAACATGATGCTGACGTAGGCGCACTTTTGATTTAGACCGAGGACATGCAGCAAGAGGCTGTTGAAGTTGGTATGTGCTGCGGAAAATGACAATCGAGCAATTCAGGAACAGCCCGAGCTGACGAGACACCTTTTAGCCCAGGAGGCCATGGCCAAGTTCACCGTCGAAAAGGATATCGCACAACACATCAAGAAGACGGTACGATTAGTTCAACCTTGCGCCACTACAATTGATGGGCCAGGGCTCCGCTAATCCTCGTGATGGGATCGCATGGCTGACAAAGGTTGTATAACAGTTCGATGAGCGCAAGGGCCCAACATGGCATTGCATTGTAGGCCGTAACTTTGGCAGCTTCGTCACTCACGGTATGCAGGACCCTTCCCTTGTCCAGTCCAGTCCCTCTCTTCATCCTTCCTCTCAGCCCCTCCTTCCCCGGTTTGAGATGTCTGAAGGTCGCATTTGCGCCTGGAAACGCAAAGTACATACACATAACCGCCATGATTGTCGTCCGGACTCGGCAGCTGGGGCAGAGGGGTTACAGCAAACTGCCGCATCTTTTCAGACGTGATTTGCTGACTTGTACTCTTGACTCTTACTACAGAGACCAAGCACTTTATCTACTTCTACCTCGGCCACTGCGCCATTCTTCTCTTCAAGACCCAGTAGGGGCGCGACCTCTTCCGCCGTTTTGTCTCCAGGTTGTAAAAGAAGAAAGAAGACAGAAAGAAAGCAGCAGCAGCATCATCAGCATTATTCGATCGTTGCCGCATCGGGCGGCCTGATTTTGGGTTCATGATCTTCGCCCATCCTTTTTATGTTTTTGCTGCAATTTTTTTGGGCTTTTCCTTCAAAGCGAACGGGAAATAAAACGGCGGGCGCCCCTTTAACCTAGACGGTCACAGGACTAAAGGGGCGTTGACAGTCATGTCCAGAGGGGGAATTCAAATAACGAAGTGGGCCATAACATTACATACCACACACACCATTACTATACCATACCATACCCTACTATCTTATCATATCAATAACGTTTAACAAATAATCGAAATACCTCTTAGCCTTAACGTGTACCGGAAGCAAAGGGAATTTGGGCTAGAGCCAACAAAGGGACTGATAGTGTTTATTTGTGCCTGAGAACGAGGATATGGTTGACTGGTTTATAGTACATTGAAAGTGATAGAGAGGCAAGGTATGACAACATACGAGCATCATGTTCCAATAAAGCGTCCGGCTTCGCAACAGGAACATTGACCGTGTTTCGTTACTGTAGCATGAGATGAACATCCCTTTCTTAACTGCTATAACCTGCCTTTTACGTGGGATTCAACAAGAGGAATTTGCAAGTAAACGTTTGTGCCTAATAAGTAGTTAGGGAATGGAGATTGACTGAAACAAAACAATGTAGGTAAAACTACCTACTCTATGTTAAAGCTCTTGCTTCTTAACAGGAACATGGATTGAGGACGTCGGCCTTTATTGATTGTTATTTTGGTAGTATACCATCAATGATACCATCGATGATGATTAACTCTGGTATATAAACCGTATGTAGTGTCTGATGCGAGCAGGCGAGATGGGAGAGTGAATAACGCCCGGGCATTCGACCTTCAGAAAGTTCCAACTGTTGATCTCAGATCTGCTACAGTAAGAAAACAGGGCACGCTTCTTGGCGTTCCGTGATGGTTGATTAATGGCAACTAGCATGATAATAGGTTAAGCAGCATGATCCAACATCAACACCATTATGGTACGTGAAGTCTTTTGAGTTTGTTCCCTTTGATTTCCCTATTCTGTGACGGCCTTGTGGTCTTCAAGCTCGGCTGGTCACTACCTATCAACTTTCAATGAACATTGATTACCAACGAACCATTCTGGCTGATCAAGGCGTTCATGGGTACAACTGCGGTAACGCAGTTACCTAGGTACTATCTGTCCCGCCCGGTTTGGTGATGCCTTCCATACCAAGCAAAGGCCACCATCATCGCTCGCACTCAAAACCACCATATCATCAGTCGAACATGAGGAACAAATGCCTCCATGAAACTTCTCTCTTTGCCTGCCTGCCCTGTCTTACCAGCATTATGAAACTGGATATGATGTGACCTGACCCGCTCGCAGTGAATTAAACGACTGATTCCTAGTCTTCCCCATGTCAACCCTCATGTCAAATCCCACCTTTCACTTCCCTCATCATTTCATGCTCGTCTCGTGTGATGAACCATAGCAAAAAAGAAAGCCTTAACGCCAGAACTCAAAAGCCACGAAAACCAGGACTTGGGGAATGCAGTACAATTCATTCCTCTTCAGATCTGGTATCCAGGTCTACATCTACCAGGAGTAGTACACGTAAGTGTCGCCTAGTAGACGTGTTAGACCAAAAAAAGCAACTCAAGCAGGAATCAAGAAAAAGAGAGAAAAACAAAAGACGCCGAGTTGAAATCAAAAGCCAGACCCTAGAATAGCAAACCCGCCTAGGCCCAACCATGGGGTATTTTTGAATGCGTGCGCCATGCCTTTGATGCTTCGTAAATAACTGGAAAGAGAAGGATGACCTCCGAATCCTGCTTCTTCCAATTTTCCGGCAACTACCAGAAAGGTCGTAGGCCCTGAATCGGAGACAAGATAGGGGAAAAAAAAAAGAAAGAGTAAAAAAAATAAAAGCAAAGAAAAACAAATGCCATCATGATATACCCTTTCGAATTGCTGTTCCATAAGTCATGTCGACCTCTCCCACTTCTTGTAAGCCCTGTCAACGGACTCCTGGAGAGAAACCAAACGCCAAGTGTTGTCTTCCATGTCATGAAAATTCCTCTAATGCGCCAACGTCCTGGCCATGTTATTTGTGATGAGTTGCGCCCATCCTCCTCTGTGCAAAATTCGTCTTCATCTTCTTGCAAGTCCTTCTCTGCCTCTTTCTGTGCGTGGTCTTTGTGGGGCTCCTAGTCATCTTCCAACATGACACCGGCAGCGTCGTAGATTTCCTTCTTCTCAAGCTGAAGTCGAGCGTGCAGTCGCATAAGACTATCCACCTTATCTGGTGAAGGGTCTTCTGCACTAGTGACCTCGCGGTGCAATGCCTCGTAGCGGGAATATGCGCGCTTGAACTTTTCGGCTTTGCTGAGAATATCCGGGTCGAGGCGTGGCCGCTTAGAGCCGATATTGCTTGATGCGTAGTCGGACGGCGCGGGACGTTTCTTACTCCTGGATCCGATATCTCCATTGACGCTGCCGGCATTGCTGCTTGCGCTGCTAACGATAACCTCACGGTCCCTCTCGCGCTCGCGCTCACGCTCACGTTTCTGAGGCCTTGATACAATGGTCCGGCGATCTTCATCGTTATCCGACGCGTTGGTGGGCGGAGATGAGGCCAACGGCGAAGATTTCTGGGGACTGGAGTATTTATTGCCCTTTGCAAGTGTGTTGCCAGACTTGCCCATAGCGTCAGGTCGTGCCTTGGGTTTGGCCACCGGCTTGACACGTTGGCTGAGCGGAGTACCGGAGCTGGAGCTGTCGTCGTCCTCTAGATCCCGCGTGCGTTTTGACAGCATCGTCTTGGTCGTTCTGGGGATGGGTTGAGCTCGTATCGTATCCCTCGTCTCCTCGACCTTCTTTTTCGCGGCAGCCCTGACCGGAGCGGCCTTTGGCTTCTGGTTAGTCTTGGGATTTGAAACCTCAATGGATCTTGCTGTTGTCTTGGTTGTCCGCGGGTAGGACCGGATTTTTTGACACCTAGCGCAGGCGCAGCAGTCCCTTGAGGTCTTCCTATGCTCTTTGAAAGCGGCACTTCGTCTTCGTCCGACTCCGAATCCGTGATGATCTCCTTGGAGAGAATACGCCCTGCCTTAGGAGCAGGCCCCTTTGACCCGGTTATCTTTGTAGGAGCCACCTTCGGTGATGCCACCATAGGCGATGCCACCTTTGAAGCTGCTGCCTTAGCAGCACTCGGCCTGCCCGTCTTTTTGGCATTTGCGCTTGCGGTGGCAATACGCTTGGCCTGCGCAACCGAAGCCGACACTTTCTTCTTAGTAACTCCTGTCTGAGAATTGGACCGCGACATCGCCTCTCCCTTCTCTGTCTCTGCGCCGCTGGGGCTGGCAGTGCCTGTAATTCGGTTCGGAGTCGGGGCTGATTGAATGTTCTTGGCGATAGTGGCATGAAGCTTGCTGAGACAGATCCCCTTGCCACGCTCTCCCTTCGGAAGCAGCTTCTGCCACAGAGGATCCGAGACACCCAATCGCATGCGATCATACTGCTTGATGGCGTTGTCGATAGCCTTTTGGCGGTCGTCGTCCGTGGCGTAGGCGTACTCAAAGACGTCCAGCTCTTTCCAGTACATCTTCTTAAGAACCCATTTTTGCTCATTCGAGTCAAAGTCGGCCACCTTGTTGAGAATGGGGTGAAACTCTTGCTCATCACCGTCGTATTTCGCGAGAAGTTCTTCGAATGTTAGGTTTTGGGCAGCAAGCTCGTGGATGATGGGAAATTTCTGCTGCTTCATTCGGTCGCTAGGGCCATTACTGGTAGGACCCAGAGAAGGTGAGCCAAGCCCACTCAACGCAGGACTGACAGAAATTGATCGAGACGAGCCATTGGTCTGTGACCCCAGGAGTCTTGCTTTGCCAGGGTTGATTTTGGCACCCTTTTTGGAAGGTAGTCCCTCGACGATCAAAGCGCTACACAACATGTTAGTCAGTCTCACGAGTGGTTCTCCTCGGTAAACACGTACGAATTCTCTCGCTTATCGGCCTCGACCTTGGCGAAGGAATTCTTCAGGTTCTCGACTGCGCCCTCAATGCTGTTTGAGGCTCTGCTGGATTGGGCTGCCTTGCGGGCGTTAGCCCTCTTGTAGTAGTCAAAGATGGACATGACTGGTCCCAAGACTCTTTGACCTCTTGTTGGCTTGTTGGGGTTGGTGTAGAACAGCTCGTAGTCCACTGGTTCTGTTAAAAGGTCGGGCTGAAGAGGTACTTCCTGGTCGTCTATGAGGATTGCCTGGGGCGAGACGGTTAACGGTGAGTAAGGAAGAGGGAAAGAGGGGAGGGGAGTTGGCAGAAAAGGCGCGGGGTAGTAAAGCAGCACAACAACCGAACTGAACACCTATTGAGACTTGAACATGTTCTGAGTTTTGGGTGGGGTCCCAGGTGCTATTGAGTGGCAGGTACAATAGCAGAGGTCCATGCATCTGGTTCTGCACATTCTGAGGGCAAGGTGACAAGAGTCTCAACCAACTTACCGGATCATCATTCAGTGACAGCTGGAGCCTGACTCCATTCTGTGCGCTCTCAATCATCTGCGCAACGAGGTCGGCGGATAAGGGTACCGCGAATGCGTGCGTCGGCCGCCGAGCCGCCATATCGGTCGGACCCTCAAGAAGAAGGCCATTGTCGGGTATTGTCAGCGACATCTTGGGCAGATTCACTCAATCACAAATCCGCGTCTGCCGAAATTCCTCCTCTTGTCTTTCCTTTCCCTAGAGGCTCTCTCCTCCTTCGCTTCTCCTATGTGTACGACACAATACTGGATACGGCGGGGTTCCCGTGCTAGAGCGGTGGCTCGGGGGTCTTTTGCGAAAAAGTGACAATTGTCCAGCGCCGAAACTTGTAACGGATCTTTAGGGATCGCCGAGTGTCGTGTGGGTACGGTATAGTGTTATGCTCAGTGCGCGGATGGGTACGGTGTTGGGTGTTGCTTCATCGTTCTCGCGTGGACTCGTTGGGCTTGTGACCAGGGACGGTCGATCGTCGTCGGAAGTGGTAAGATGCGACTTGAACGGGCACTTGGGCGTTAGACTTGGTTTTGGAAAAGCCGACAGGCGAGAGCAAGGGGAGATTCAACGTCAACAGGTCCGAAAGTCACAAGGAAGAAAGGGTAGACGGTGAGGAGTGTCGTGCTCTCGGAAGAAAAGGGCGGCGTGAGGGGGAATGACAACAGCGAACCTTCAAGGCTAACGCAAGCGAGAACGGGGCGGAAGCCGTACCGAAGTCGGATTACCTAGCGACAAGGCGCACAACAGAGAGGCAGAGACGAGGCACCCAAGAATGACAACAGCTGGCCCTGGGCGGCGGCATCAGACGACGGGAGGAGGACGAAGAGTGACTAAGGCACGACCCAACGTGGAAGAGAACCTGGATGACGAGAACGTGAACCTGGAAGAGGAAGGGCGGAGGTCAAGAACGGGAGTCAGGTTGGGAGTGGAAGCGAAGTGGTGAGAGTGGAGAGTGGAGGTGGTTGCAGGAGGATATCCACCCCGTTCCCAAAGGGTACTTCCCTCTGCTGGTGTGGGATACAGCCCGGGTTACACTTTTGGTGTACAGGTGCTGAGAGGTGGTACGGGGGCGTCCGGGGAGCACGGGGAGCACGGGGTACGTCGATGGATCTGCTATGATCGAAAGGATGGAACGGTTGGGGACGAAACGAAGTGGAAAGGCAGGAACCACGCTAACCTGGCGAACTCACCCACACGACCGGACAGTGTCAAGTATTTCCCTCCTGCAAAGGTGTGGGCGGTACTTTCCCTTGTGCTGGCAAGCTGGGAATAGCCTAACCGCAGCGCTTGCGACATTGATCCGCTACAACGGACCACCTCATCCGCCCTTTGTTCGTCGGTTGTTGACCAACTTGACTGTTTCGTTCTTTTTGCCTGGGTTTGCTGCCAATCTGCTGGTAATGGCGCGAAAGCAAAAGACGCAACACAAGGCTTGACGTGACTGGCGCAAACCAGCAGTGCATTGTGGAATTGGTAAGGTATTGAGCGACCCCTAGTGATGTGGTCTGAGGTAAGGCGGTATCGCCAGGTACACGGTGGGCCGCCCCGTTCAGTCCTCACTGTCCAGCCACGAGCCAGCTCAGGGCACCGCCGGGCAGCACACCCACACAACAATGGAGCTGGCGATGCGCGAGGTGGGGCACAGCACTTGGCTGGTGGGTGGATGGCTCACTCACCCTCCCGCTGTTCTGGGCAACGAACGGGCTTTCCCGCACCTCAGCACCTCCTCTGATCCCATCACTTCTGTCTGACTTTTCCACTTTTGTTGCGCAAAGTTCCCTGGGCCTGTTCCCAAGGCTTCAAGCCATTCACAAAGAGAGAGAGGGAGTCACTCACCACTCCTGCCAGGTGCCATCTCGTGTCCGACAGGGGACAGGGTTGCGGGTGAGCAGCTCAAAGCCCGGCATCATGCCCGCATGTGCGAATCTGCGAATCGACCCAGGAACTAAAAACGAAAGGGAACAGTCATAACGGTTTTCATGCCGGATTCACACCTGGCATTGTTCTGTTTCGTTGACTTTCTGCTTTCTCTGTTTTGAGTAGTATTGGGTATATATGTACGGCGGGTACATAGCGGAGTACAATGGTCGGTATATACCGGACCTGTATTGAAGGTTACAACGATGGAAACGAAGACAATGGTCGCACCAGAGTACGTGCGTACCTTTTGAGTCTTGCGGCCTCCAAACTGAGGGATCTCTTTTAAATGGGCTTGTTGGGCAAACGAACTTGTGTTTCCATTTCCATCTGGACTTGCGAATGCTAAGTACCAAAGTATCGTCCACGTCCAAGTTGGACGGATGTCCTGATCGCTCTTCCATTGATCTTATTCCATATTAACGCAACTCTCACAGGTAAGTCTACTTCTGACTTTCGAGACCCCTAGGTAGGGAACATCAAAGGTGATCAAGCGAACAGCGGCTTGTAGTAGTTGGCTCGGTACCTAGGTTGCCGGCGAGAATCACAAAGGCATCCGGAAGCCGGCGTCCCTCTGCCTTTCTGGATCACGAAGCAGCTGCTTTGTATGTCGGCTCTACATGCTCACGACTTACTCCTCGATGTATTTCGACGTATGCCTCTTGCTTTAACGCAAGTCTGCAGATACAAAGCATTGCCAAATGTCCTGCTTGAGATACCTACAGCGTGCTGTGACAGTTTTGAAACTGTGTACATGGCTCTGGACTTGCCCGGCCGCCAAGTTTCATCGGCTCGCTTTGTGTTTATCTCGCCAAGTTCCAGAGGGCCCAGCCAACTGTCGGGCTCTGACATCCGGCGCTTTCAAACTTGCGTGGAAATTGGCGAGGCCCCTTTGCAATTCTACACCAGAAATATGGCGAATAATAGTTATAGTAAGGGCAGTCCTGGGAACCCGATGCCATATTATAACCGGGCTTCTTTATGGCGATCCCCTCCTTCCTCATGCTTCATGCTTCATGCCGACCACGAGAGGAAATTCCAACCGCATCGCAGCGGGTGGTGGGTACCTCTACCACAGGCTCACAGCGAACTTCCACTTTCCTTCATCACAAGGGCCCGGAACCCCAACCGGGGCAATCCCGCTCTCGGGGCAATCCGCTCCTAGCGATGAAAATCACCGTCCAATTCACACGCACACACACACACAATACCCGCCGACCAGTGATATGCTGTGCCGTGGCACCGATCCGTCGCTCAACCAGGTCCCATTGGCCTGCCTGTTTCACTCCTGAGTGGTGACCCTCGCGAAGTAATTCGGGGACGGCGATGTAAGTTCTGTTCAAGTGAAATCCCGACAAGACCTAAAACTGCCCCCATGAGTGTCAGTGTCAGAGAGTGGTTGGCGGCGTTTTGTTGCGGCGAGACAGGGCTGCAGACATGATGTGTGTTGGAAGTGGCTGGTCAGCATGAGCCACTCTCAGCAGCGGCAGCGGCAGTACTCGTCTGGGCTAGAAACGCCTTCTGCGACGCATTGCTTGAAGATGAAGTGGAACTGAGGCAGAAGCAACCTATTGAACCAAGCAGCCCACAGGGACAGACGGCGTCGGCAGCATGTTCGTAATGCTGAATGCAGGTCATAACCAACGTGTGAATTGTGGGCGTTCAACTCCCGGGGGGTTTATCGACAGGCCTTACTACGTTCGTGGTCTTTGCTTTTTCCTGTCCCGAATAATAATCAAACTTTAATGTTATTCTCCGCGATGTAAATCCGCCGAGAACTGGAATTGGGGCCGTGTCGTTCCTGCCGCCAATGCTCCATCTTTTACCTGTGCCACGCTTCGTACAAAATAAACGGGATATGACCGGTAGGTAATTACGTCAGTCCTGGTTTGTCGCAAGCGTCCACCCTGAAGTCTCGCTGCCGCCCTGGGGATGTGACGTTCTTTCCCTGGCTTCTAACCTTGCGTCCTCCATCATCATCACCGGCCGGTGCCCGGGCTCGAGCAGGGATACAAGAAGTTGAAACAAACCCTCAAAAGATTTCCGTAGATCCGAGTTTTGCGCGAGAAATGATTCCCAAACAAGCGCGCGCCGTTTACTACTCTTTTTTTTCCAAGACAGAGTGAGGCCCCCTGTTAACTCGAGGAACGCAGAACCACGCATTTCTAGCTACACCACATACCTACCTAGCCACGACCTGACCTAACGTAAGGACCCACGAGCTCGTGTTCCCCCAAGTCCCCGGTTCACTCATCCAGAAATCCGACGGCACACCCAAGAACCAAGGGCCATGGACCAAGGACAAGAGCGACGAACGGCGTGCCCCGTGTTGCCGTGTGCCGTGTGTCCGGAAAAGTACGGCGCAGCAGAACAGCATAATATATCTGCCTCTAGGTTAAGGTACATGTAGGCAAGCCCTTTGGGTTGGGAACGGGAACCGATAGGGTAGTGGGCACCTGGCTCCCTGGGTCAGGTCGCACAACAGCATCTCCATGTCATTCTCGACACGGCACAACCCTTCCAAGTGCCAGAGGGACGGAAGCGGTCGAAACTGAATCGAGGTGTATTAGTCAGGTTAGAAGATGGCCTAACTCGCTGGTGGTGGTGATGGTGCTGGTGGCGGCTGACGTTAAGGACCATGTTCGGGAAGACCCTCACCTTTGGGACTTTCCGACATACCTCGATGGATTGATGATCACCCCCTTCCCTCGCCTATAGTTCTGCTGGTATGATCCGAGTGCCTGGCTGAGCTTATGCTTTACCTAGTAATAACATGGTAGCGCCGCAGCCTTAAGTTACCTACGGTACTTCAGGTAGGGTCGTGATCTACAGAGAAGCGCTTCGTCTAGTTTGTTGCCCATTATGCGCTGAAAAATTGTGCCCTTTGCTTGCTCTCAACTACATGGGTGGACATGACGGTGAGTGGAAGGGCTGACGGACGGGTAGGGCGAGCAAGTGATCGTCTGTTCTGTTTCTGCAAGGTAAATCATTCCACGCGGGAGAAACGGCAGCCCTTCTTTGGGTGTTGCATCAAATGGTAGGTTGAGGGTATAGTTGGCTTTTAACTCCATTCTCTTCGAGCCGCCCGTGACGTTGTTGGGGATCTTTGAGTGAGTTCTCCCATTTCTGGGTCCAAGATGATAGGAAGAGGTGCCTAAGGGTAATGTTTCTTTTTTTACATCACTGGTTTTTCAATTGAACCAGCTGTTTACCTACAAGCACCAAAGGCAAAACGGCCTGATCGGCCTGTGACGTCTTGACTATGTACAACCCATCCCAGGATATCATTGTTTGGTACGCCGTTGAGTTGGCCCTCCAGGACACTTTCAGCGGTACATCACCACACTTGCGCGCTTTTTCATCACCATTGCCGGCTTGCCCTGTCGTATGTACCACCAGGCACTTGGCACCGAGTGGTTTGAGGAAATTCAGCTTGCACAACCATGACAACCATACCCATACAAACTGCTCCATCTCACGTTTACATATCTCTAAGCTGAACCAAGGCCTGGTTATCAGCGTCCACCGCATCATGTGCTAGATTTGCATTGCCGGTGTCTGTCAAAGGCGAGAAATTGCCAGAGCTGCTCTAACCATGACAAGGCATATATATCATTTTTCGGCATTGAAAACGGTGGTGTTTGTTCAGCTCACATCTGGTACCTTTCCCCTTCGCCGCATCGATGTTTCTCGGAGTTTCCTTGTTCGGACAAAGGCCTCGCTTGTTCGTTGCAATGAGGTCTTACGCCCCCACGAGTTCTATGTTGTGCCGTCTCACTCTTCATATGCTGACTTGATAGCTCCCATGTGGCAAGGATGTTTGGTATCTCAAAGGGAAACGTGCTGCCTGATACAGTATTTAGGAAACCGTTGCTGTTATCTAGTACTTTGAAATATACCAACAGATGGAGCATTCACGATTTCCATACGATGAAAGTGTTCAATAGTTTTGAATTTTCTAGTCTTTCGCCAGTTAGCAAAGACATCATCATATGCACATACCATCCATTCACCCAAGTGTCAACCCATTCATGTCAGACTGTCACTCGGATGTGAAATATCGCAGTTGATGTAACCTGACTTTAACGTAGCATTCAGTGTGTGCTTGTACGCACTTCCTTGACAAACCTGATACGTTCACGTAGTACACATTGTATAATGGAAAATGAAACTGTTTGGCAGGCGGCAACTCAGAGCAAAGCAAAGCGGAACGTGTTGAGAGAAAATGTTCGGTTGAAGAGATCAACAACGTCTCTAACAAGTTACGGCTGTTCTGGCAAACCACATTGTCGTTCTCGGGTCCGGTTCTTGCCTCCGGGCTCTCAACTCTTTTGAAACGAATCAGACGGCTTCACCTTCCCCGGACGTATATGTTCCTGCCTCTTTCTCGTGGTCTTAACGAGAGCCATATCCGGGCAGGATACGTTGCCAATCAGTGTGCCATGTGCTCTTCCCATTTGCGGTTATTGAGTGATTGAGTGTATACCCTTAAGGTACCGTTCCTCGCTTAGTTCCCGGGTTTCTCGTCGTTGGCGGAAGGCTTGTTCCGGTTCCTAACCCAAAGGAAACCACCGTGATTAAGTCGCCCCCTGTTTCCCCGCGATTTCTCTCGTCCATGTAAAATGTGCCCCGTAACGGCAGTAAAGTGTAAACAAATCACACCTCAGCGCCGGATCGTAGCCTGAGGAGAAGTTGCGCGGAGGCCGAAGATGGCAGGAGGCGATCGTAAAATGCGGATTCATATATGCCTCGCTCGACCTCCTCTAGAGTTTCAATGGACAACAAGAAGTCTCGCCTTCAGGCTTGTTCCTCTTGAAAATGCGGTGCGGGGAGGGGGTGGGTGAGTATAGGGTGGGTGGCATTACATGCCTCTTAGTGTGTGTGTCTTGCTTCGCACGCTTTTACATGTATGATTTACGTACCTGAATTGGGTTTGAGAGTTGAAGTTGCTTATGGCGTCCCTTGCATACGTATGTCTTGTGCGTTCTTTTGGACGTTGAAGCCTGGTCGTCATTCACTTGTTGACGAGATCTTCGGCCATTTCTTTATCTTGAAGTGCCTGGCAGTGATGGCGGTTTCGCTCCTTTACAGCGCATTGTAAATGAACGTGAGAGAGGTCAAGACGGACATCAATGAGAAGTTCTTCGGCCCTTCGCTATGTGTGATCAAACTGAAAGTCAGGACGGTGGACGGAAGGGAGCACGAGGAGAGTGGAGGTCGAATCGGGGTCTTTGCGGGGAGAAGATGTTCACCGGACTCGACCGGATCTGCCGCCATGCCAGGAAGCGGACTAGCTGTCGGTTCCATATTGGGTTTAGGTGGGATCCCGGTGGACCACCACACGATCTCGCCCTTGTCTCCACTTTCTTCCATCGTTCGTTCTCTCCCAGTCTCCCTCCTCCTCGCAGTTGGATGATTCGTTGAAGGCGTGTGAACTGATGAAGTTGGCGAACTCGCTGGCACTTCCTAAAACTGGCCGGCTCAGCTTCTCGTTTTAGCACAACTCCTTTTATGTTGATCGACATACAGATACCCGGGCAAGTCCTTTAAAGCGGTCGAGGAAGCTTGCAGTGGCTGGGTAGGAGGCCCCAGCCGGCTAACGATGCCGTCGCATGGCTGGCTGAATAAGATTGCGGTTTTACTCCATGGTGAGGCGGGCAACAGCCTGCCCTGCTAGAAAAGGCACCGTTGTAGTTACACATTCCTCTGCCGTACCTTGCTCATTTCGTACCTCGTCCAGGACAGGCAAGGTTAGGCCTCCTTTAGTTCGGTGTGTTGTCTCTTGTTCACCTGGTCGGACCTACCTATGGTGAAACAGCACAAAAACAGGTATTGGTGGAAAAGAGACGGCCATGTATTTGTCTCAAACTACAGCAATGGCACTGCCGCTGTCATGTGGCGGCCGGGTGGTTTTATCTGTTCGAGTTTGATGCGTGCTGATGATTTTCCTTCCGAAGGGTTATCACTGTTGACGATACTTTAGGTTGCCGGATACCGGACACTTGAATCGGTCGCTCCTGCAGCTTCACTCCAGTGTGTTTGTTGTTTACATCGGAAATAAGCTACACATATAAAATGACCGAAGCTGTGATACTTATACCGAGCACTCTGCTCCTGAATCAGGGGCTTATGGTATACCGACATCAGGCTACTGGTCTATCAAAGCCCAGGTTGTGTCACGAGGTTCGATCCAATATAAATTCGGGCGAGTACCTACGATCCCCGGCTTTCGAAACTTTACAAGTGATGGGTTTTGCAGAATAGACGGTGTAAACGCCTCGTTCAGTCATCAATGAAGAAAAAAAAGGAAGAAAAAACCCTCGGAGAATGAACAACCAGCAGCATCATTGGTGGAGACTCGTATTTTCATCCTTCCTGGTCTTGTCTGTCCCCTTCCATTTTCACATAACGAGAGTATCTCTTCTTGCGGTGGCTACCTCTACCATGTAGAAGAAACAAAACATAAATGAAAACCCATACGGTTGTGTGTGGATGACAAGAACTGACTACCTCCAAGTCCAAGCAGAATACCAAAAAAAAAAAAAAAAAAAAAAACACAAAACAAGAAGCTCAGCGGTCCACGAGCAGGGTCGAACCCGTCCACTCAAGACACGCCTACGAAAACTGTACCACCGTCACCAACGTAACGAGCAATGTTTATCTGGCCCCGCCACATACTGCTTGACCACGAGGGAACCTTTATTAGCGAGGGCACTTGGAGTCACTAACAGATCTTGAAGGGGGAGCTTATTAAAGCCCAGATGGAAGTTCCAGCGCCCACATAGCAAACAACTATTGGACAGGTGCTACGTTTATTTATGTTCAAGGAAGCATGAACCGAAAATTCCATCTTCGCATCACCGGACGATACCTAGCAGAATCACACTCCATCTACCCAATCCGTTTATGGATCTACCGCACCTTTCCAATCCACTCAGCAATACTTTAGACCCTCCCCGAGTGCTCATACATATCCATTTCCCCTCCACCAGAAAATGTGAAGCTAACAACTCAAGTCCAAAACGGTAGCTCTTGCCTCTCACGATCCTGTCGCCTCCCGAGACATCACTTCCGATCGAGCCTTGACTCGATGTCAATGACGACGCGGGCACGTTCCTGATTCTTTGGGCTCGATCTGCCCCTTTCCCTGACGTATACCCCTTGTGTGGCTGCGCTCCCTGCGTATCTACGTAGAGAGGGCTGTTACACAGTCTCTCGGGTCCTTACTTTGAGGCTTGCTCACTTGACAAGTGGAAGTTAGACTGGGTTGAATGTCATCAGTTCCTAGTTTTGATAAACAACGGCGGCGATGACTATATACGGGATCCATGACTACTTGAGCTGGAGAAATACGGGCGAAAAGGAGAGGGTGGCTGGTTCTTGAAGAGACGGGTTTACTATGTGATAGTGTGCAATTTTGAGAGCTGGGGATGGGAGAGCAAAGTTGAGGTTACGTGTGTACTATGGACGGGAAGAAAGTATAGCGTGTGTATGAAGAACGCTGGGGACAGGCCGCTACAAGTGTGGCTCCGGTGTCAATAACGTGAGAAGGGAGGGGCGTTTTGGGCGTGGAAAAGAAGTGGTATGCTTGGTGTTGTCCTAGTTCTGTTATCGAAATCAAGTTACAACGGTCTATGATGAGAAAGCGATCAGATCGTAGTGTAATCATGGTACCAAAAAGACACCAACATGAGAGAAGACAAATCCCCTAGCGGCCCTTTTATTGCGATACTGTTTACACTGTCTGTTTGTCAGCCAGAGGTAGCTTGCCAATGGATACCTTCTAGTCTAAAAAGATCCATATACATCCATCCTGCTTGTCTATCTCTACCAGAGGCTGTTTAAGCAATTCAAATCTAACAAACACGCTATAATTGGCGTTATCTTTCCTGACCCTTGCCCTCTCTCACCAGTATCATGCAACCAAAAGGCTAGTTACCAAGAAGGCCTCTCTCGCCGATAAATTCCCCACCAGAACCCAACACGGTCTGCCTCGTCTGTCTCTCCCTCGCCCCAATCATCCTCACCAGCGGCCATAGCATCCTCGACTAACGTCAGGGGACTGCTCGCTTGTTCTAATTTGGAACGAAGAGAATTGGTCAACCCCTTCGTGGTCTCGTCTCTTTGAGGTACCATCACCAGCAATCTGGCGTCACTCTCAAGGGAGAGCTGCGCATCGATGGCGGAGGAGAGAAGATCCGGGTGATTGTCATCGTATAGGGGATCCGCTACAATGATGAGCTGTTGATGGAGTAGTGTCAGTTGCGGCTTGCCTAAGTTGATGATATAAAGCAATCTGTGGATGAGTGAACGCCAGACTGACCTTATAACGGTTTCCTTCCCCAAACCGCGGATGACTGTCATCCTCATAATCATCGCTCCCCCAGGTCAACGCAGCCGCCTCGACTTTGCCACCGTGCGCCGCCACCGTTTCCCGATTTAGCTCGGCGTTGTGCGATAGATTGGGAACAATGTTGGGCAGGTCGGTCAGGGCCACATTGGCTACCCAGAGACAGGCGGCCGCTATACCCAGGAGACCAGTGCCGGATCCAAGCTCCAGCACGTCCAGAGGCTCGTCTCCCACAAAGAGATGAGCTAGGGGACCAGCCGAAAACTGCGGGAGAAGCTGCGCGAGCACGTAGGATGATCCCCACGTCTTGAGACCGAGTGAGTCACCAGTGAGGGGAGGCTCTCGGATGGCTAGGTCGAAGTCGCCAATGTTCTCATCCCGAAAGGGCCACCGGCGGATGATCTCGCCCATTGCTACAATATGCAGAAAGCCAGAAAACATCAACACTACCATTCATTTTACCGCTGCAATCGCTTGGGGCGACCCCTCAGCCCCATCCTTCTGGGGGAGACGACCCAAATACTTGGGCCCTGCCCAACCCCCTCCCATGTCCCACTTTCCTCTACAAACTCTTTGCACATACCTGTCCGGCCACACCTCTCCGCCAACCGCCTGCTCGCCTCCTCCCAAATATCCTCCCGCTGTTCGTCATTGTCGAGCCATGGCAAACCGCTCTTGATGATGCTTGAGAGAAAAGAGATGATCTCTTGCCGGTTGAAGGCCGCCTCCGCCATGCTGGCCGCCTGCGCCTTGAGAATCTCTTCCCGAGACTCCTTGAGACCCCAGATCCGAGGCTCTTGACGGAGGCGCTGAAGGACATCGAGAAGGGTGGTGTAGGCTGGCCTCTGCCAGAGATGGGGGAGTTCCTCGGGCGAGGGTATCGCGGATACCGTCATGTTGAGGTTGTTGGTGTGGTCGGCTCGATGAAGGGAGGTAGGGCGGTAGGCAGCCTGGCAAGTAGGAGGCGCAACGCGAGAGTAAGGAGACGAACTTGTTGAAAGTGAAGCAAGCACCAACCGAGAAACGAAAGACGACGGATGTGACGAGGACGAGGGACGAAAATATGAAGAGATGGGTCGGATTGTATATTTCACAGCATTATCAAACATTCACCAAGGTACCCCTACCCAACAAGTGTCTCACCATTTTCTCCCGTCAACGTTTTTTCTCGCCTTCCCCATTTCGGCACGGCAAACCTGGGGAAATCGGGAACGTGAGAGGCTATCGTAGAGACCGGGGGACGGTCTGGCCGCCGGTCCCTGGGGGAAGCATGTCCGGATTTTGGAAGGATAACGGGTGAGGCCGTGATAGGACCGGGGTCGCAAGCGTGTGGTCCACCCCCATGATATCTCGCTTTTGACACAGCTCTGCTGTCGCCATTTTTGTGTTCTCTTTTCGTCTCGATTTCTCGATTTCCGACCGACTGGCGATGTGAGTGGGACTCCATTTCTTCGATCGGTGGGGACTCACCATCCCGCTAGTGTTTGATGTGGGATTCGAGGTTGGCAAGGGTCTGATAGCGATAAGCAATCAGTGTGCCAAGCCCAGGCGGCAGCAGCTGCCCGCTGCCTCTGCATCCGCAATTCCAGGTGGATATTTTGGTCAAACCCTCGGTCTGATTGGCTGAGCCTGAAGCAAAGACACAGAGCCTCAATTGTCCTTTTTATGACCCCAAACAATTTTCTGGAACCGTTCCACTTTCCTCTCTCTTCCCTTTTTTTTCTCTCCTCGTGAACCCTCGTCCTCTTCAACGCTGCGTTTCTATGCTACGAACGGAGAGACTCGCGCAAGCGTTTCTTTCACATCTTTCTACCAAGGCATATGAGAAATTCGGAGAAATCGCTTCACTTCAAGCCTTTTTTAATCATCAGGTCCACCTGGTGATTTTTTGGCTCTACCGGCAACGGTCTGCGCGCGATCCTCGCGTCTGTAATTGGCATCAGAAAAGCAGGGCGCTGGGCTTCCCTTGATCGCTTGCGGTCGGGGGATAGTTCCAGCGTTTCCTCTGGGAGGGCCATTACGAAGCTTGTGAATGAAATCACTTGAGTGCAATACGCAGCGTGCATGCCCCCGTCCTTTCTTCCCCCTTTCGAGGGGGGTGGGAGAATGAGGGACTGCACAATTCGATTCCGATTACTCTGTTGAGGACGAGGCTTCACCACCACCATCCCCCTTCGTTGCAAACCTGGGCTGCGCGCTCGGGATGTGAGGAAGAACTGATCACATTGCAAGCAGTCAGTCCCTGAAGTTCACCCGAGTTTGACTCCTTCTCCATGGTCACTACCCGGTTTTATTTTTCAATTCAGGAAGATTAAACGTCCTATTACTCACCACGGGTTCCGTTGGCTTTTGCTGTGGAAGATCGAGGTCCATAATTCAGGTCTACATCCCATATCGCCGCTGTGACTGTTTTGGCACGTTGGCGGTCGATATAATTCACATACGAACCTATGTTTCCGCCACGAGAATTTGTGTCGGGTCGCGATAGTAACAAAATAAACACTTAGTCTCGATGAACAATGGACCCCAATTAGTGGTGTCAACAGCGAATCCTGCACAACATCTTGACCTCGACTTCGTCCTCGTTCTCATCTGCCACGGCGTCCACTCCAGTTTGCTTTACGAGGCCGCTGACCTTGTCGACGAAACACTTTGTTCTTCAGCCTTCAGCTTCCGCTTCCGCTTCGCTTCGTCGGCTATCACCCTGTCAGCAACTCCCGTCCGTAGGTAGCTCACGCACGATATCTTGTCTTCTGGTAGGTCGTAATTACGTAGGGTTGGAAAGTGTTTGTTGGTTCGTGAAATGCCAACGTCGTCCTCGACGGGAGGAGCTTCTTGGGTGGTTGCACTTCCTACCATAGGTATCCATTTCTTTCCCGCTTGAGCTGCGTCGGTGTTGTCATACGTTCGTTGTGCGATCTTGAGAAAGAAATAAAAACAAATCCGAAAGTATGAAGTGCTCCCTGCCCGTTCTCGAAGTAATCAGATACTTGTAGATATCTGTAACCGGACCCAAGAACATCCATCCTCATGAAATTCAATTCACGAATATAAGTTCCAGCGGACGGTGCATGAAGAAATCCATATTAAAAGCCGTACGCAGGCAGGGAGGGCCATGTCGATGCGATGATGCTACGTACTTGCTCCAACCACAACGATTTCTCCGGCATGCAAAGACGTTGAAGCAGACATTAAATTCGGGTTTAGTTATTACCCTTCGTTCCATTAATTACGATACCAATCAAGTGACAAGACAAACCTGGACCAAAAACAACCAAAAAGGCAAGACAAAATGCACCCAGCGCGCCCATAGAGTTTTGAAGCATAGCGGAGTATGTAAAAAGATAAGCAAAAGGCTCAGTCGCCCAGGAGGCTTGGGGGAACGAACCACCATGCTTCAGCTGCGACCTACGAAAACTGTGTCACGAGCACCGCGCACACCGGCAATGTTTTCATCACACGGAACCGCTCGACCATTTGGCCAGTTAGTTGCCGCGCTGGGATTAGGGCCTCGTCCCGAACCTTATATGGTGCATACGTTTTAGGTAGGCGGGGGAGGAGAGGTAAGGGTGGAAAGACGGGATGGGATGGGATGGGATGAGAGGAGGCTGTTGATAACCATGAACACCAACCCTTTCCCCTTTCCCCTTTCCCCAATCCCTAAATACGTTCGACACTTCACCAACATGGACACAGAAAGGAATACGAAAAGGTGAAGGAACTAATTGTAACGCGTGATTGGGCAGATGGCAAAGGACAATGACCTTTCAACACCGAAAATACAAGCAAATATCATTCATTTGACTAGCCCAGGCAATGTAGACGCTACAAGACTCATGCCCAATGCCGCTGCCCTTCGTTCTACCTCATTCATCCTCCAACAAATAAAGGGGGTATATAGCGTCCGAAATCATTCCTATAAAAAAGCAAGGCTACAATTGTGAGAGATAACCACCCAGCGCCTAACCCCAAGTTGCCAAAATGTTCAAAGTGAAGGTAGTGGACAATGACAGTATGTCCAGAATGAAGAATTTCTTTCCGAGAGAAATGTACAAAAATGCCGGTTGATCCTTGCCGTGAGAACGGCGTGGTAGAATAGCTAACCGAGGCATGTTGGCTGCTCAGACAGTTGATGTCTTGGACCTGTTATTATGTGGTAGATATGCCTACGAGGTGTTTGCTTGCGCTTCCAAGTAGGCGAGAAGTACATCTATGCTGCCCCATCATGTGGGTTGTTAATGTGAGCCGTGAGGCAGTTTGGTGTTGAGCAGTCGACTAGTGACTTGACACCTTCGACCATACCCTGATGGTCGATGCAAACGCGGCGAAGGGATGAATCTGGTGGAGAGATCATGGGTTTGATATTCTTCGTACCCGGCCAACTTGGAGCTGAAGAGGGTCGGGATCTGAAGAGACCTTGAGGTCTTCCAGCTGTGCTCACTGATGAGGCTCATATGCGGGAACGTCGAGGTCTGTCGTCCCGAAATCACCGCGTGGTGCTCAAATTCTTTGGTTCCGTAACTACCTATAGCAGCTTTCAAACCGCAACTGAAGCATTCTTTCTGCTTTCAGCATCCTCAACCTGGAAGCCAAACACAAGCCTGAAAAGGTCTTTCAAAAAGCTGTACTGTCCAGACCTCATCATCATCCAGTTAACGCTCTTCGCGATTTCGATGGCGCTGATGCGCTTCCCTCGAGGCGGAAGACTGGCTGAGGCTCGGAATGCAGAATCCGTTAACACCAGATTCTTGTAACTTTGCAACAGCGTGGCATGCATCGGTAAAGAGCCGAAAGACCCCGTAGGCAAGCTCTTGACAAATGTTTGCAAGGCCGCAGAACCGCCCTTGCCGTCTGCCGCCGCAATTTCCCGACTGAAGCCAATGTTCATGGCAGCCTTGACTATCAAAACCTTGATGCGCGTAATGTTCATATCCTCAATAGTGGCAGTAGCAGTGGTGGCGGTACTAGATGTGTGTTGGCTGCTCTGACTGTACCCCGAAAGGTTCGAGGCGCTGCTCGACCAGCGCCCTCCACGCGAGTCGCTGCGGTCGTTCGATGGCCCAAGTACCATGATGTTAGGCATCTGTGGGCTGGCATCTGGCGAAACTGGCGTGTCTTCAAACTCGGTAACTGGGGTCTCGGGTATGATTGGCTTGTTGCGTGGCCGATCGGTTAGGTCGCTGAGGCTTCGGAGGCTCTCACGTTTCGAGCGCATTGAAGCACGGCTGCCGGTGTTGGATCGGGAATCGGACTGGTGGTTGGATGAGAGACTCTGTAACCCATAGCTTCCAGGGGAGAAGAAGTTGATGTGGCTCGGCCGGGGTGTTCCTCGATCAGGTCGAATTTGTGTCCAGCCCTCCCTGAAGATATCGCACAACTCCCAGCACGCCTGGACTGCGGATCCCAAAAGCTCTTCATCTGGTGCTTTACCGTCACGACGGTTTTGCCGAAGGCTGAACAACATCTCTGCCAGCGCCCAGCAAGCTCGCAGAAGAGAGTCCGTCTCTTCGGGCGAATCATTTCGTTGTTTCATAAGTCGGTGGCATAATGTGATGTAAAAGTCCAAGGTCCGTTCCCTAAACGCCTCGGGAAGGCTTCGAGTGTCTTGGGCGCTATATAAACTACATAACGTGTTAGCCCATGTAATGATAATGACAAGACGACAAGGACGTACTGGTTGTTTAACTCAAAGCTCACTCTCAATATCGAGTCAGCTACCTCGTCTTTCTTTTGCCGTACATCGAACAATGACTGGCAAAAGTCGCGGCAGAGATCTAGGTTAGTCCGAGCAATGTTGTGCGACTCGGGATAATCGTTCCTGCTCTGATAAAGTCGTTTGCAGAGTTTCCAGCAGCTTTTCCACGCTTTCTCGTGAGCGTCCGGAGTCCCGGAGCTATTGAAAACACGTTCACGGTGTATAGAACTGAGGTTCGCAAGAGTATTGCAAAGCGTCCAGCACTCTTCTAGAGCTGCTGAGAGGGCCTGGATCTCGGTTTGCTCGCTCGGCGTGGTTTCGGCAGTGAGAAAATCGTCGGCATCTTCGTATCGCTCATCGCCTTCGTGGCTTTCTGGTATGACTGTAAATAATCAGCCGTGCGCTTCTGAGCAGATGACATGTATATACTCACGTTCCAAGCTACTCGCAGTGCTAGATCTCATCCTGGTATTCTCGTTCGCAAAAACGTCTTCCAATCTCTGAGCCTGAGGTGTTGGTGCATCTAAGCCAAATGCTACTGGCTTCACGTTGGTGTTGACCATAGGGAGGGAGTGGGTCGGAGGGGATTGTGCCTGATCTCGTTTAGCTATACAGTGATTACAAAAGCAGGCGTTATTCATACCGTCGAGGCTTCGCTAGCCGGGGGACTGATGGTGCTACTCTCTGCACTGGCCGCACTGACAGAATTTGAGAGGCTGGATCTCGAGTAGTTATCACTTGATTTCTGTCCCCAGTTCGAGTCAGTATTTTATTTTGTTCATGTTCATGTTTGCGAGGGGCCCATACCCAGTTTTCGAAGCTTGGTGGCGCATGGATCACTGAGACGACTTCATCACCCATGGATTTCCTTATATGGTCCGGTAGGTTCGTCCGTAGCATCATAAGCTTATATCGTCAGCATCAGAGTCTGAGCTCGTTATCACGCCAGGAGGCTGAACTAACCGAGTGATGACCATGTTGCCCTTGCCCTTGCTCAGCATGTTCCTCTGCCTCGTCGTCCTCGATCTCTGTGGTCTCGGTACCATTCGATGTCACCGGAGATGGGCCAACAATATCGCTGGTTGGACTTAGGAGCAGATGTGCCGAGTTGGGTCTAATGTAGGAAGTAGGACGTAGTGATTGAGAATCAGAGGCCGATGAGGAGCTGAAGTTGAGAGAATAGGTTAGTACCACTGGGCTGGAGTTAGATAGGGAGGGAAGCGTACGCCATATACTGAGCAGGCAGCGGGGAATCTGGACCCGCCGAGAGCGACATCTCGGTGTATGGAGAATAGATGGATTTAAAGCTTCCAGTCGACGATCTCAAGGGTGCCTCAAGAGCCATTGCGGGGAATGGTTGCAATGGCTAACCCGCACTGCAAGCCAGAAGGAGCCTTAACACAAGGCTCGCGCTGGCCTTCCAAGAATGTCCAACGGGAGCTGCCAGAGGAGTGGCTGCTGCGTGTAGGCCTGTGTGAGCTCGAGTGAACGTGGACACCACACTCGGTGCGGCATAAAATGTCGTGAAGGGTAGACCACACTGTGCTGCTGCGTCCTAAGCGGTGATGCAGGATATGCTGTCGTCGTCTATTGGTTGCTGCTCTCAACTCGATGGAATGCGCCGCGATTTGAGGTGGTCGTGGACGGAAAGGAAGTTTAGTGCTTGAAGCTGAAGGTCAAGCTGATATATGTGGTGTGCTTGTTGGTGATGGATAATGATCCCTTGAGGCAGACTGGACGCAGGCGTACTCTAGAGCAGGACGATAATGTTCAAGCTCTTTTCAACCTTGTGCGGCTCCGGGAATGGGCCCAAGTACAATAAAGCCACGGGCCGGCCAGAAGATGCGACCTTGGGAGGCTTGCTGACAAGTCGGGTGCCGGTGATGCTGGCGCCGAAGATGGAGGCTCGGTTGGGTTTGTTTTTGGAATAATCTCTAGGCCTTTCAAAGCGGTCGAGATGCTGTGCTAGGTTTGTGACCCGAAATCGCAGATCGAAGGTTCCAACCGAAGGACTGGACGAAAGATGGACAAATATGTAGGGGTTCTGGAAAGAGATGAAACGAAGAAACAAACCACAGCCAGAAACGAATGGAGAACAAAAAGCCGACAGATGAAATGGTTGCCAGAAGGAAAAACAAAATCTACGTAATGATAAACAAGCCGACCCAATTCTTTCTCTTCCACTCAGCGCCGTCTTGCTGGGTTGTCGTCCGGGTGGGAGAGCAGTGGGACGGGCAGCCAGTCAGAAGGATGGAAGCTGAAGCTAGATGTAGGTTGAGGAGACTCGGCTACTGTACGATCTGGGCTTTGGTGTACTTTTGAGGGTTTGTGTGAGGGGAGGAACGCCGCCTGCGCTTAAGACGAGAAGCTGGATTCGCTGGAACCTCACGGGCAGCAAGCGGAGAGCCGGCAGCCCAAAAAGGTGAAGAGAGGTTCAGGTTGCAGGCAGGCAAAGAGGGCAGCGGGAAAAGTCCAGTGGGAGGTTCGGTGGGCGTCCATCCAGCGTCCACTCGGCTCCGCCTATCGTTCACAACGTTCCCATGTGTTGCTGCCCTTGTCCCTGTCCGTTGGAGTTGGGGTGTGCCAGTCCCTGCCCGTCCCTGCTTGCGGGAAGGAGCCACTTTGACTTATAAAGCTCCATTATGCAAGTCGCAACCGCCAGGCTTTGGTACTATCGGGCATTAACACAGTGAATCGAAGAGATGAAAATTCGAAAGCACCGGTTGGGGACAAGAGGTTGAATTCATGCAGGTAACAATCAACGAGAGACATATGAGTAGAGGTGTCAGACTCCCGACGGTCTCAAATTCGCTATATCAGGATGCCGAGAACTCCTCGTCTTGGAGATACATCAGTGTAAAGTTGCCGTTGTTAGGCAACCAGGCAACCCATCGCCTCGGGCTTTGTGAAAATGGAAATAGTTACTGCACGGTACCTTACCTTGATGCAGAAATAAAGCATAGACTGACGGGAAATATGACATGAACCTGCAAAACTGACAGTTGTTGCTACCTCACCTCACATCAACCCGACAGAGATGCCTTCTCACTGCGTGGTCTTTTCCCATGCCGAAAAAGAGTCAGCCTTTGGTAGTGATGGTGGTGATAAAATGTTGCTCAATCAACAACCCAAATGTGGCAGATCAGAGTCGCAGTGTTCTTTTCCCTAACCGACAGCCTGCATGGTGGTGACAGGCTTCGGCGCTTAAGCATGCAGTGAGGAAAGATGGGCTCGCTTTGGCGGCCACTCAGCATCCAACGTCCAAAAGCCCCGCTTCACGTTCGAGGGGCATGGCCCTGGACCAATCAGCTTGCTTTCAAGGGCTCTCTTCAACTCTTCGAGGGCTCATCAATTCGCATCAAAGTGTGAACCTGCTGGGTGGTCGCTGTTCCGTGATCTTGTGTCTCTTCGGGACTCTCTGTGACCAATGGGGAGGTGGTGCAAGATCTTGTCTTGAGACGTCTCTCTCTGCCTCTGACACTCTGTAGCATCGACGATACGGCAGCTGAACTGAACTGATTCAGGTATGACAGAACGATCCCAACTTTTCGTGTCCAGAAGGAGAAAGACCATGATAAAAACTCAAGACATCCCACGAGAGAGCCCACTCACTATCAGCAAATTTCATTTGGTTTATCAAACCGAGAAAATTGCACTCGGCCAGAAGCATCACTCTTCAGACATAGCGTCGCTCGCTGAAACCCATGGAACCGGATTGTACACGCAGAGAGCCGCATCTAACACAGTGTCTCTGAGCATCCCCTAGATAGGTGTCGCTTGGAGATTATCGCGGATGATGTCCTTCTCTCGGTCTGGACTTTTTTCCTGGAGAACTCCAACACCGACCGACGACTATTTCAACAACGCATTGGCATGCAGACCGCAAGGCTGAAATCGCCCATCCAAACATGAGAAGCTTCAGTGCCTGGATATGTGGTACAGTACCGAGCTTGTCGAGGAGTTGCTCAGCATGAAGCTTGGCCTATATCACCGGCCTTTCAGGGCGTTCGGGGGAAGAGTTCCCAGTGTGAGCAAGGCCAGTTCCAACGGACACCCGTGTTGAGCGTACGATGCATGGAAGAAATGAATCCTACCAGAAAATGACGTGAACCGTTGGTGTTATAGGGCAAGGGTTTTGGGCGTCCGGAAGTCCACAAGGCTCTTCAGTTCGGGCCAAAGGTCGCTATATTGACGGAGTATTATGGCAGTGGAAGGTTTTGTATCGGCACCCTTGAGACAGCACCGCCGACCGGTTTCCAATTCCGGCGTGGCATGGGCAAGGTGAAGAAAAATGAGCCCGGCCTTTTGCAACAAGCATCCCCCAAGGCGTATTTTGTGCTGGGTTCGGCGGTTAGAGGGGGGACTGATATTGGTGGTGCTGATGTTCCTTGCCGAGCTCCAATGTTGCTCATGGTTCGTTTCGAAACCAGCTCGCCGGCTTCTTGCCCTTGAACCATACACTCGGGTCCAGATAACGTGCGAACGTTCGGTTGCGGGAAAAGGTGTGTGAACGGGGAAGTAACTCCGGAGGGTCCAGGTTTCGGGCCTTTGGGATCCAAAGCAGAAAGAATAGTTCGTGGCCCTACGACTGTGATGGATCCGCCAATTCGTTTCTTGTCGTTGGTGTGACCCAATCCTCATTACCAGGAAACCCATGGCTCATCAAAGCGCCAGGATCTCCACTTATCATAGAAGGGTGTTCATCTGTTCCTGGTAGACCTTGCGCGATCCCCAATGCCCCGGATTTCACAAGCAGACACTCTCTTCTTCTCCACTTGCACTCCGGTCCAAGTTTGTCAGATGACAAAAGTCGTCTTCCGGTTGCCGTGGGGGAAAGAGAACTCCCAGATCGTGATATCCGGACTGTTAATATTAAATTACCCTTCGTTCCCAGCTTAATATGACTTAAAAAGAAAATAACAACTCTATATATTAATATAAATAAAAAACAAGTAGTAAAAAACCACTTAGTAAGTATTAAATGAAAATTTTAAAAACTTAATTAATCATAATAAATAAGCTAATAACCCCGGCTGCTTTAAATATATATTTCTTATTTATATAACAAAATCAAGCTGCTTATCAAAATAAATTCCAAATTATTGTATTTCTTTTAAAAACGAACTTAATTAATAAAATTGTGACGGCGCGGCTCAACCACTAGTCAGCATTGCTCATATAGCTGCATGGTTTCTAGCAGTGCACTGTATATTCTTTGCGCTACAGCTATCCTTTGTATTCTAGTTCTTTTTTTTCCTCATCTTTGATCTTCATTTAATAATGAAGTCATTGTCGTTTTGTCGCATTCCTTCACCCCATTCGCCATGACAAAAATATTAAAAGTAATATATACTGAGTTGTATTAAACTTTCTTTATATTTTTATTATAAAGTAGGAAGTAAGTGGTTTTATTTTCCTATAGTCGATTTTAAAATCCAAATTCTTTATATACTTATGAAAATTAGCAGCTCTTTAAATAATGACATATAGTATCCATATAATATTCTAGCCTATTATAAAACAAGTCATATTATTGACGTAAAAAACGACCAGATCTTACTATTTTTTGAAGAAAACCGAAGTGAATAGAAAAAAATAAATTAAAGATTATAGTAACTTTTATAATAAATTTTATTTATATAGAACTGGCAATTAATTCATTTAAAAAAAGAAATTCCTATCCGTATAGAAGTTTATCATAAAAGAAGTAAATATCACAGGGTAAAGCCAAGGTTAGGGAATAGATTGAATATGCGTAGTTGTACGAGGACGGAAGGAGAGAGGTGTGCGCAGGTCTGGCAATATGGAGCAAGGCACGAAGGCCATGCCTAGAGCTGGGACCAGCGCACGTGCC